AAAAATTATTGACGAATTGAAATGAATATAAATTTGATCATTACTCACAAAAACGATAAAAAGTGCCAAGCAGCACAAATCGATGTATGTGTATGCCATCACGCCGAACAATTGGCTTTTCTGCAATCTCAGCAATGATTTTTGTATATTTTGTGTGACGAAGTAGCGGCGGAGTTTTGTTCATTGTTTACACTTGTTACATTTACCGTGATAAAACTCAGTGACTCCGCTCTGTTCATATTGCTACTCTCTTGATAAACAGAACACAAAATATAATAGAGAGTGTATTCATATTGTTCTCGCAGAAATGCATTGCTAATTAATATTTTTTATATGGAGCGCTCTGCTGAAAATATATTTTTCGAAAAACCGCTCCCTTCGGCGCCCTCGCGCGCCTTTTTCTAAAAAAAACTCCCAAAATAAAGCGCTCGAGCGCCTTCGGCGCTCTCACGCGCCCTTTTTTTCAAAGCAATTCCTAACATAAAGCGCTCGAGCGCTAGACAGAATACATTGTCTAGTGAACAAACTTTGCTCTTAGATCCAAATTCACTGTCTGCCGATGGAACGATTGCTTTGCAAAACGCAGCTTTATCAGATGATGGAAGTATACTTGCTTATGCACTCAGCGAATCTGGTTCGGACTGGGTGAAAATTAAATTCCGAAACGTTAAATCTGGTGAGGATTATCCCGACCTTTTGGAACATGTGAAATTCACATCGCTAGCATGGACACATGACAATAAGGGCTTGTTCTATAACGTGAGCTCTTGATAATTTTTTACATATTTGTAATAATAGCCTAATATCCTTCATTTGACTATCTAACACCACAAAATTTGCAATGGTTTTAGCGTTATGAACAAAACGGAGATGGATCGGAAACCGATTCAAACCAGAATCATAAGTTGTACTATCACCGCGTTGGTGAACCACAAGAAAAGGACGTTCTTGTCGTTGAATTCTTGGAGAATCCAAGATGGCTAATGTATGTGATTTCGAATACTCTAGTTATTGTCTATTTTTAATTAATTTTTCTTAACCAGAGGAGCAGATGTGAGCTCGTGTGGGACATATTTGATTGTCTTACTAGTATCCGGTGCGAACAATGTTTCTGTATATTTCGCTGACTTGTATAAAAATGGTCCAATTACAGGGAAAATGCCACTCACAGCAATTTTTATGGAACCCAACTGGTAAACAGAATTTTTTTAAACTCTTTTTTGAACAAAGAAATTCCACGGTGTTTCGTAGCTAACAGTCCATAGATATATATTTTTAGGACCAAATTTAAAATTTATGTGGATTAAGTCGGATGAGAAAACTAAAAGTTTCAATAGTAAAACGCTATTGGTCATTTTTTTTATTTCGTATTTTGATAATGTTCATTTATTCATTCATTCTTTTCTTGTTTTCAAAATGTTCAGTACATCACAAATACTGGTTCAAAAGCAGTGTTCCTTAGGACACGAAATGCACCCAATTATCGTCTTGTAGTGATTGACTTTGATAATCATGCAGAAGAGAATTGGAGAACACTTGTCGAAGTAAGTATCGTTTTGATAAGATTTAACCTTATATGAAGATTTTAATTAAAATATGTAATACACACATTGAAATGCATATGACTTTTTTACAGGAAGATCCAAAAGATGTGCTGCATTGGGCACAGGTCGTTGATAACGATAAAATTGTAATTTCTTATTTGCATGACATAGAGGTAACACAATAAATTTGTTGATGCTTATATTTTGAGTGAACTATTCAAAGTCTTCATTTTCAGAGCACGCTGCAAGTGCACTCCCTGGAGACCGGTGAATTGATTCGACACTTTCCGCTTGAGATTGGACAAATCGTGGCGTTCAGCGGAAGTAAGAAATATTTGGAAGTCTTCTTCCAATTCCAGTCATATCTAACACCAGGCATAATTTATCGCTACGATTTCTCAACACCTGATGTTGAGCCGACTTTTTCGCGCGAAGTTGAATTGAATTTGGAAGGATTCAATAAGAATGACTTCGTAATGGAGCAAGTATTCTACTCAAGCCGGGATGGAACGAATATTCCAATGTACATCGTACAGAAAAGGGCTAGTTCCAAGGAGTCAAAACCATGTTTACTCTACGGTTATGGCGGGTTCAATGCACCATTGCTGCCATAATTCAGTGTGCCTTTCCTATTTTTCATCCACGAATTTGATGGCATTTTGGCGATTCCGAACATTAGAGGCGGTGGTGAATATGGCAAAGAATGGTACGATGCAGGCCGATTACTCAACAAGCAAAATTCATTCGATGATTTCCAAGCGGCTGCCGAATATTTGGTCGAAAATAAATACACTGAACACAAAAAGATTGCGATTGCAATCAAAGGTGTTTCCAACGGAGGACTACTGGTTGGAGCTTGTATCAATCAACGACCAGATCTCTTCGGCGTCGCTGTAGCTCAAGTCGGTGTGATGGATATGCTTCGTTTCCACAAATTCACCATCGGTGAGAGAGTCATTCCAGAGTATGGTGACCCACGTGAAAAGATTCATTTTGAAAATCTCTACAAATATTCGCCGCTGCATAATGTACACGCACCAAACAGCACTCAAAATCAATATCCATCAACATTGATAACAACTGCTGACCATGATGATCGCGTCGGTCCATTGCATTCATTGAAATTTGCTGCCACTTTGCAATACGCCGTTAGAGACAACCAGTTACAGAAGAATCCAATTTTGTTGCGAGTTTACAATAAGACAGGTCATCATGAAGGCAAACCAACCGCGAAATTGATTCAAGAGGAAACTGATATCAATACGTTCTTATATCAAGCTCTTCAAATCGATATTGACACTTAAATTGGGCAATTTTTCATACATTTCTCGAAAATTGACACATTGATTTACTATTGAATGTTTTGACAAAAACACACAATGTCATTAAAATTTCCATTTGAAATTTAGCTTGAATAAAATTCGCACAATGAAGATAAGATTTATTTTTAAAACAATGTCATTGTTTGATTTAAATATAGTGATGAAATCATGCAGTTTGCGTTTGTTTACTACCGTATTCAATGACTCCCATTTTCAATGTGCTGTAGTTCAATCTGCGTCTGAGTATACAATAAAACTCCAAAGTAATCAATCAGAAGCATGTAAACGTATTGCATTCATTTTTTATAGATAAACAGACAAAAATCCCCAAGCCATAATAACAAATATATATATCAATACTGTGCCGGATAAATGCCTATATTTCGAATACATTTTCTCCATTGGAACTTGAATGCAATGCAAAACAATAAAATATGCAACGTATTTATGCCTTTTATAATCCATTTTTGATAGACGATTCAAGATAATGCCATGATATAAAAGTAAGAGCTCCACTTGAAATTTCAGTACGGTTTTACCTGGATTTCGAAAAAGACACCTTTGGCGAATATATAATTACAAAGAAATGAGGCCCACAGTAATGATAGCTTATTGTTTAGTCATAGTTTCGGCTGGTAATATTACCTTGTGCTTCTACAGTTTTTCTTCGATTGTGTTTTAGCAAGTTTTGTTTTATCAAAGATTTTGATAATTTGCTTTGAAATTTTATAGCAACGATTGAGTCATCTCAAGTTGTTCATGATATAACATATCCAAATGCCCGACGTGATGAGAGTGTGGTCGATGATTTCCATGGAACAAAAGTAGCTGATCCATATCGATGGCTCGAGGATCCTCATTCGGGGGAGACGAAGCAATTCATCGATGCTCAAAACAAATTATCGCTATCGTTCTTAGCGAAAAGCGATACGTGGAAAAAGATGAACGAAAAACTGACCAAAATGTGGAACTACCCAAAATTCGGCGTACCACAATGCAAGGGAAAGTACTACTTTTCTTTCAGGAATAGTGGTCTACAAAATCAAGAGTAAACGTCATTTCCATATGATTATCCCACGCATTGTGCTTGCTTCTGAATTATATTAATTTCGAAGGATTTCTTCTTCTTTTAGTGTTCTTTACAAACAGAAATCATTAACTGATGAACCAACTGTGTTCTTAGATCCAAATGCATTGTCTGTCGATGGAACGATTGCTTTGCAAAGCACATCTTTTTCATATGATGGAAGCATTTTATCATACACACTCAGCGAATCTGGTTCAGATTGGGTGAAAATCAAATTTCGTAACGTTGAATCCGGTAAAGATTATCCCGATCTCTTAAGACAAATTAAGTTTACATCGTTAGCATGGACGTATGACAACAAAGGATTGTTTTATAATGTGAGAGTTTGATCATTTTCTACTGCACCAATAATAATATTCATTTATTTGATTATCTTATGACAACAAATTCATGGTGATTTAGCGCTATGATCAGAACGGAGATGGTACTGAGATCGATTTAAATGTGAATCAAAAGTTGTACTATCATCGCGTTGGTGAACCACAAGAAAAAGACGTTCTTGTTGTTGAATTCTTGGAAAATCCATCGTGGTTGATGTATGTGAATTTCGACATTTTCTTTTCTCTTAATTTTATTTTAATTGTTTATTATTTAAAACTCATATTTGTCCATAATTAGAGAAGCAGTCGTAAGCTCGTGTGGAAAATATTTGATTGTATTATCCGGACCTACTACGGACAATGTTTTATATTTCGCTGATTTGAGTAAAAATGGTCCAATTATTGGAATAATTCCACTCACACCCATTGTTACTAAACCCGAGTCTACATATAAAGTAAATATAACAATGATGTTTGCTGTAAAAACAAAGAAACTTATATATCGAACCTTTTTGTACTATTGCATTTTGAGGGATAGTGATGTCTGATAGCAGCGTCTAATTCCACTTTAAAATCTTTTTTTTTTCAAAATTCTCAGTATGTCACGAATACTGAATCAAATGCAATGTTTCTCACGACACGAAATGCACCTAATTGTCGTCTTGTAGTGATTGACTTTGATAATTATGCAGAAGAGAATTGGAGAACGCTTTTCGAGGTATATTCTGATGAAATTTAACCTTAGACGATAATTTTGATTAAAATGTGTAATACACACATTGAAATGCATATGATTATTTTACAGGAAGACCTGAAAGATGTGCTGCATTGGGCACAGGTCGTTGATAACGATAAAATTATTATTTCTTATATACATGACGTAAAGGTATAACAAATGTTTCGAATGCTCAAATGATGATGAAGCTATTCAAAGTCTTGAAATTTTTTTAGAGTACATTGCAAGTTAACTCTCTGAAGAGCGGTGAACTAATTCGCAGGTTCATGTTTGAAAATGGTCAAGTTGTTGCGATCATTGGAAGTGAGAAATCCTCGGAAGTCTTCTTCCAATTCCAGTCATATCTAACACCGGGCATAATTTATCGCTACGACTTCTCAACACCTGATGTTGAGCCAACTGTGTTGCATGAAACTAAATTGAATTTAGAAGGATTCAATAAGAATGACTTCGTAATGGAGCAAGTATTCTACTCAAGCCGGGATGGAACGAATATTCCAATGTACATCGTACAGAAAAGGGCTAGTTCCAAGGTGCCACGTCCTTGTTTACTCTACGGTTATGGTGGGTTCAATGCACCATTGCTGCCACAATTCAGTCTGCCTTTCTTATTTTTCATCCACGAATTTGATGGCATTTTGGCAGTTGCGAACATTAGAGGCGGTGGTGAATACGGCGAAAAATGGTACGATGCAGGCCGATTACTAAACAAGCAAAATTCATTCGATGATTTCCAAGCGGCAGCCGAATATTTGGTCGAGAAGAAATACACTGAACACAAGAAGATTGCAATCAAAGGTGTATCCAACGGAGGACTACTGGTTGGAGCTTGTATCAATCAACGACCAGACCTCTTCGGTGCTGCTGTTGCCCAAGTCGGAGCGATGGATATGCTTCGATTTCACAAATTCACCATCGGTGAGAGAATCATTCCAGAGTATGGTGACCCACGTGAAAAGATTCATTTTGAAAATCTCTACAAATATTCGCCGCTGCATAATGTACACGCACCAAACAGCACTCAAAATCCATATCCATCAACATTGATAACAACTGCTGACCATGATGACCGTGTCAGTCCATTGCATTCATTGAAATTAACTGCAACTTTACAAAATGCTGTTGGAAATAACCAGTTTCAGAAGAATCCAATTTTGTTGAGAGTTTACAGTAAGGCAGGTCATCATGACGACAAACCAACCGCGAAATTGATTCAAGAGGAAACTGATATCAATACGTTCTTATTTCAAGCTCTTCAAATCGATATTGACGCTTAATTTAAGCCAATTTGTTTCAAACATTTCTCGTAAATTGACACAAAATTATGATTTACTTTCGGATATTTCGTCAAGATCCACATAGCCTAAGCATATCGGCCACACGCTTTACACGCTGTCTGACATGCTTCACTTGTATACGATATTGTGAAGACAGAGCCTACTCCAACCATTTTACATTAAAGTATACGAGCGAAGTATATCACACAACGTGTGAATCGTGTAGCGTATGTGCCTGGGTGTAACATTGCTTTAAAAAAATCTACCTTAAATGAACCTGATACAATAAAGATGAAGTGCTTCTTTTAAAAACAGTATCGACGTTTGTTTTCGATTTAGTGATAAGATTATTTACTTACAATTCGCCGACTGTACGGTCGCTATAAGATCTATTGGGCAGATCGGTAGGAGAGATTCGTTAGGACACGTGGTGCTTATCGGCGAAAATTAAATTTTTGAACATTTCTTATCAATTCGTTAAACCTAAAGCACCCGACGAAATTATTGTGCAAATTATTTTAAATAATTTCTCCTTATTTAATAACATATTGCATAGTCAGTGCACGTGCATTTTCGGACTCATTTATAAAAAATGCTAAAATACGACAATGCGCAACATGTACCTCTGGAGAGTAACATGAGAAGTATGCCAAAAATTTGGTACCTACATAACTATAAATTTCTCGTATACTTCCTTTCAATCGAAATCTGAACAGAATACAGCAAAAATCTTAAAAACCTTTAATACACCCATGACGATACATTCTTATCAGTAATTTTTCAAACGACATTTTTCTTAGATTAATAACACACAAGGACTAGGGGCATTTCTCACGAAAAGAATGGATGAATTCTTATAAATTTTGAAAAATTTCTTCCGTTCGGTCCGATTCGATCAATTTTTATCAATTCGTGAAAATAAATGTTCATTTACACTGAAATTGTGTTCTGGAAGTGGGTTTTGGTGGATTTCAATGATTGTTCAGAACTGCTCCCGGTTCTGGAAGTGGATCTTCAGGATGGGCCAGGGCATTGTCAAACCGGATCTGGTCCATCCTGATGGTCCACCAAAACCCACTTCCAGAATCGGGAGCAGTTCTGAACGATCCTTGAGATCCACTAAAACCTACTTCCAGAACACTTTTATTCAAGCATTATCATCATTTCAGTACATTTTCTTACAATTTCAATAAAAAAGAAGATATAATAGACATTTTTGAACATTTGCTCAAATTTTTTGTGTGAGAAATGCCCCTAGCACAAGGACGACTAATATAATATCGTGATATAAAAGTAGGAACTCTGATTGAAATCTCAGTTCAGTTTTAGCTTGATTTCGAACAAGACAGCTTTAACGAATATTCAATATATATAAAAAATGAGGCTTATCGTATTGATAGTTTTCTGGCTGGTATTTCATTGTGGTTTTTTATTCATTCTGGTTGGGTTTTTCAATGAGTATTGTTATATGTGTTAATAGTTAATAAATATAATTCATGTTATAAAATTTTGATCGATTGCGTTGGAATTTTACAGCAAAGATTGATACATCCCAAAATGTTCGTGGTATTACATACCCAAATGCCCAACGTGATGAGAGTGTGGTCGATGATTTGCACGGAACAAAAGTAGCCGATCCATATAGATGGCTTGAGGATCCTTATTCAGAAGAGACGAAGCAATTCATCGATGCTCAAAACGAATTATCACAATCGTTGGAGAGTAACGCAAATTGGAAAAAAATAAACGAAAAACTGACCAAAATGTGGAACTACCATAAATTCGGCGTTCCATTCCGGAAGGGGAAGTACTACTTTTCTTTCAAGAATTCTGGTCTACAAAATCAAAAGTAAATGTCATTTACATATGATTGTTCGGCGGCATTGCGCTTGCTTCTGAATTATATTCCTATTGAACAAAACAAATATTCATTTTGTCTTCTTTTAGTGTTCTTTACAGACAGAAATCATTGACTGATGAGCTAACTGAGCTCTTGGATCCGAATTCGTTGTCTGCCGATGGAACGACTGCTTTGCAAAGCACATCTTATTCACATGATGGAAGTATTCTTGCATACTCTCTTAGCGATTCCGGCTCTGATTGGGCAAGAATCAAATTTCGAAACATCGAATCGGGTAAGGATTATCCCGATCTTTTGGAGCGCGTGAAATTCTCATCGTTAGCATGGACACACGACAATAAAGGATTGTTCTACAATGTTAGTTTTTAAATTTTTCTGAAGAATAGATTTTTCAATTTTCAATTTTTTTTAACAATTTGATGCGACATTTCCAGCGCTTTGATAAAAAAGGAAATGGATCTGAAAATGATTCGAACCAGAATCAAAAGTTATACTATCACCAACTTGGCGACTCACAAGAAAAAGACGTACTTGTTGCTGAATTCTTGGAGAACCCAAGATGGATAATGTATGTGATTTTAAATACTCTAGTTTTTCTCTATTTTTAACTCATTTTTCTGATTCAGAGGTGCGGAGGTGAGCTCGTGTGGAACATATTTGATTTTATCACCCGGATCTGGTGCAAACAATGCTTTATATTTCGCTGATTTGAGTAAAAATGGTCCGATCACTGGGAAAATTCCACTCACAACAATTGTTACGGAACCCAACGCTGCATATGAAGTAAACGGAACGATTTTTCTGCTCATTTTAACAATGAAATTCCATAATTTTTCGTATTTTCAATCACAGCTTTTATGGGATAGTGCACGCATTAAGAAGCATCTTTCATCCAAATTTGTTTAGCGCCTTCACTAACTAAAAGCATATAAAATTGATGGTCATTCTTGAATCTTTGTAATTTTAATTTTAATCAATTTCTAATTCAATCTTGCTTCCAAAATCTTCAGTATGTCGCGAATACTGGATCGAAAGCTGTATTTCAAACGACATGGAATGCACCCACTTATCGCCTTGTTGTGATTGACTTTGATAATTATGCAGAAGAGAATTGGAGTACACTTATCGAGGTATGCTCTTAATTGGATTTACGCCCAAGCACGTCCAAGGAACAGTTCAAATCTAATTCTGAAATATTTTTTGTTGAAACTGTTAATTTTATAGGAAAATCCGACAGATGTACTACGATGGGCTCACGTGGTTGATAAAGATAAACTTGTTGTTTCATATATGCATGATGTGAAGGTACGGTTATTTTCAAATTAGTTTTTTCTCGACTGTTCAGAATGTTCTTGCATTTTTCAGAGTACATTGCAAGTGCACTCTCTGGAGACTGGTAAATTGATTCGACACTTTCCGCTTGAAATTGGTACAATCATGGGATTCAGTGGAAACGAAAAATCTTCGGAAGTCTTCTACCAACTTCAGTCATTTCTCTCACCTGGAACAATTTATCGCTACGATTTCTCCGAGCCTAACGCTGAACCGACTGTGTTGTATGAAACTAAATTGAATTTGGAAGGATTCGATAAGAATGATTTTAAAATGGAACAAGTATTCTATTCAAGTCGTGACGGTACAAAAATTCCCATGTACATTGTGCAGAGAAAGGATAGTTCAAAGGAGCCTCGTCCATGTTTACTCTACGGTTATGGAGGATTCAACGTTTCACTTCTGCCATCATTCAGTGTGTCATATCTATTTTTCATGTATGTTCTCAACGGGATTCTGGCGATTCCGAACCTAAGAGGCGATGGTGAATATGGCAAAAAATGGCACGATGGAGGTCGTTTGCTCAACAAACAGAACGTGTTTGACGATTTTCAAGCGGCAGCCGAATATTTAGTTCAACAGAAATATACAACAAAAAATAAGATCGCTATCAGAGGAGGTTCAAATGGTGGATTGCTCGTTGGAGCTTGTATCAATCAACGACCAGATCTCTTTGGTGCCGCAGTGCCCCAAGTTGGTGTCATGGATATGCTTCGATTCCACAAATTCACCATCGGTCATGCGTGGATTCCAGAATATGGCAATCCAGATGAAAAGATTGACTTTGAAAATATTTTTAAATACTCGCCGCTACATAATGTACATGCACCAAACAGTACTGAGAATCAATATCCACCAACATTGATTACAACTGCTGACCATGATGATCGTGTCAGCCCATTGCATTCATTGAAATTTGCTGCAGCCCTACAATACGCCGTTAAAGACAACCAGTTCCAGAAGAACCCAATTTCGTTGAGAGTTTACAGTAAGGCAGGCCATGGCGCAGGCAAACCAACTGCTAAAAAAATTGAAGAGGAATGTGATGTCTATACATTCTTATGTCAGGCCCTGCAAATCGATACGTCATCATTATAATTTATTCATTTTTTTGCAAGAGTTAATACAACATTATAACTTTGTGCTTTTTTCTAATAATAAAAATGTTACGTTTTTTAAATACCATTTGTTTGCAATTGCTTGTTGATATCTATTTAATATATGCTGTTGAATTACAACCAGTTTATTCTGTGCACTGCTCATGGGGCGCAGAAATAGATGGTGTACTAGAAGGTCATCTGAATCAATGCAACATTGGCATTACACATAGTGGCTATATTCTTTACTCAATTGTTTGCTTTTAAACTTACTCCTGTTTATTGGTATTCCAAACTAACAAAATACATACTCTTGTTTAACGCAAATTAAGGTTTATGAAACATACTCGCCTTTATCATAGCCACAAACAGTCAAAAAACATACTCTACTTTAACTATTTTTAAGCCGAAAGAAACTTACTCTTCTCTTTCGTAACAAAGTCAATGAAACATACACTACTATCAACCTCACCCATAGATTTCATCCTTCCAAATTCTATTTGTATATTATTCAAAACGCTGTATCACATTTACGAAACAAATTTTTCCTTTTTTCGCTCATCATAGTTCTTCATTTGTTTTTTTTTTTGCTGCCTTAAGAGCTCAACCATGAAAACCGTTTATGTCCATTCCAAGTGTCCAGCTTCAATTGTTGCTTTTGAATCCAGCTTCAATTGTTCAAACCTGCATATTTACAAAAACTGACACAACATGAACCTTTAGGCAAATTTATGACAAAATATATCAACATGTGAGCTAAATCGTAAATGATTTCCACTCAAAAAATGACATCTTGTAGGTGAAAATGAAAACATTTTTGTCATTGTTTTGACTAAATGTTGATAAATTCAATACTTTAAAACTTAAGTCGACCTTAAAATTAAAACCGGAAAAGCGCTTGGAATGGACATTAGAAGACTTAAAGTCTTGAACTCCGATTCAAATTAGATGCTTGAATTGGTCGTTATGATACGGTTCTTGAGCCAGCGAAAAAACCATCTGCAGAACTGTGAATATTTTATGGATCTGGGTACTTTTCTTCCAGCAAATGAAACAGAGGCTATAAGGCTCATTGGAGAGGGAACAGATGCAAATTATTTCGACGCATTTTGGGAATAATATCTAATGCACTGGGCGGCTGTACGAGGTAAATAAATTCATTTGACATTTTTTTTTTCGAACACTGGAGTTTTCATGAAGAAAATATGTTTTAGGCTATGAAAAAGTGATTAAACTTCTTCTCAAAAAAGGTTACAAAAACCAACTCAAATCAGAGCTTGGGCGAAGAACCCCACTGATTGACGCTATCAAGTGGGGGGGGAGGTAATTTCGAAAATAACTATTTCAAGGAACCAACAAATTTAAATCAAATTAAAATTCAAATATATTGTATTTTTCAGTTCGAGATGATATTATAGAACTGCTCATAAAAAGTGGAAGTGATGTTAATGCAGTAGAAATGAAACCTGTAGCAGATCCGCTTCGAGCGGCCGTGATCGAAAGTAAGCGCATTAATTTAAATCAACCATTGAATGAAATCAAATAGTTTTGTTTCAGATAACGCAAGACTGGTCAATTACTCCTAAAAAATGGTGCAAACATCCAATCCTCGAATTATTTTGATTCCACAGTGGCAGACTTGACTAGACAATATGGTAAGATTTTTGTTAAATCCAAGATTTTATTCAAAAATAAAGAAATGGATTTGTTTCAAGGTCGCGACTCCATCGTGAATTTGATTGATGCTTGGGAGCTATTTTGTGAACAGTGCTCACATGGTACCAATTCAGGTCAGTATTGAAAGGTAATCAAATTGAACAGTACTAAAATATTCTAACAATATGTACTTAATTTCATTTGCAGAGTTACCGGAAACACAAACGAATTGATGACAACAATGTTGCTTAGGTGTTGTATACCAGCATCAATAGCATACTTTCAAATTGTTTCCATAGATAATTTAGTTTTTCACAATTAACCACAGTTTTTCAGTTTGTTATTATTTTTCCTGAAAGTTTACACCGTATTTAAAAATTAAGGTCTCTCCCTAGCGCATACAGTCGAAGTACATTCATCGAGGTATGATTTTGATAAGTTCGCTTCAATCGTTTTATTAACATATTAGTTTACAACGGTTTCATCGATAAATTAGGGAAACATGAGAGATTAAATAGCTGTTGCGCAATGAATTTGTGTAACCAAAGAAAATTCCTTCGTCCAATTGAAAACAAATATACGTTTGTTAATTGTGTTCTCTTGTTTTTCCGTTCAATAAATGTCGTCCACGTATTTTATTTATTGTATTCAATGAAAATAAAGCAAATAAAATCCATATTCATAGTAGCACAAATGAAATTCGCATAATTTCCCCATAAGAACTTCAACTTGATGGTTTGTTTACGTTTTCAAATCCAGTGCCACATATATGACACTTCAACATTGGAGAAGTGAGGTTATGTGAATTCAGCAACAATTGACGTATACTCATTCGGAATGTGTCAGAATGTTGTACACAACTGATGGATATTCTTATTGGATACACTACTATATGATAAAATGTGTATGAATGTTTTTTTTTCTTTCAAGAAACATTTTCTTCGTATCTTCATGCAACACAAAATGAAAAGGTAATATTTCCAATTATTTTTCTTTGATACACCATAAAAATGCTCAAGAGAAAGGTATGCATTGCAGTGACAAACATCTAACGAAAATTGCACCATTTCGAATGTTTTGACTGAAACTTTTGACAGCAATAGCTCAGACAACAGACGGACATAACCTCGAAAAAGTGTGAGAGAGCACGCTGCGTTATTAGTTGTCGTGGCTTATTTTGTCTAGGCTGACACTTTTTACGGCATTTTAATAGCAGTGGTTTTAAAAACCCGGAATTCCTGTGTTATTTATTCAATTAAAATCGCGTCAAACGCATAGATAACTGGTAGTGTAATCATCTGAGAAGAAAAAAATGGTAACATATTTATAGTTTGTGGTATTTTCGAGTGTTTCATCAATTGTTGTGTATTTGACAGGCTGCTGTTGAGCGAAAGGGGACTTTTAAAGTTGAATTCCTGCAAAAAATTGAGCGTGACGTTCAAGCAAAATGGGAAAAAGAACGTGTTTATGAGTTCGATGCACCGGCCGAACCACGTAAAAGCAATGACGAAAAGTTTTTCGCTACATTTCCATATCCGTATATGAATGGTCGCTTGCATTTAGGTCACACCTTCTCATTTTCAAAGGCTGAAGTGGGTCAATGGATGCATAATGGATTATTTTGATTGTGATTAATGTTTGTTTTGTGTTTTTCTCCATAGTTTGGCATTCGGTATCAACGTTTGAAGGGTAAGAAATGCTTGATCCCATTCGGATTCCACTGCACCGGTATGCCGATTAAAGCGTGCGCCGATAAATTGCAACGTGAATTAGAAACATTTGGCTATCCGCCAAACTTTCCCACCGAAGATGAACCGATAGTAGTTGAGGAAGAAAAGGATATTATTCCAGTAGACAAAAGCAAAGGCAAAAAGGTTAGTTGAAACATTTTCCAATCATACGGGCTATTAATGCTAATTCTAAATTATTTTTTTTCTTGTGCAGAGCAAAGCCGTTGCAAAAAGCGGCTCAGCAAAATATCAATGGCAAATTATGCAAAGTTTAGGATTGACCGATGAAGAAATCAAGAAATTTGCCGATCCACTCTATTGGTTAGAATATTTCCCACCATTGGCCATTCAAGACTTGAAGCAGTTTGGTGTTCATGTAAGATGATGCAATACTTATCTCAATTACACGGTGATGCATCGGCCACTGCCGGTTGCATCTTTCACTTTCACTCGTTTGTTGGAACTTCAGTTTTTATTCTCAAACTAATTTTCGGTTCAATTTTCAAACAGTAAAGTCATTATTTTAAGTCAATGAAGCATTTTTTTTGATAATTTTTTTTTTATTCTTGTGTTGTTTGCAAACAGGTCGATTGGCGCCGTACATTCATTACGACGGATGCAAATCCATACTATGACTCCTTTATTCGATGGCAATTCAATCATTTAAAAGCAAGAAATAAGATTGCGTACGGTAAGCGGTACACAATTTACTCACCAAAAGACGGTCAACCATGTATGGATCACGATCGTTCAACGGGCGAAGGTGTCGGCCCACAAGAATACACTTTGATCAAGATGAAAGTCGTCGCAAATGTGCCGAAGAAGTTCCAGTGAGTAATAAATGGCTATTTTGAAAGAAATTGTTTTTAAAATTCAAGTTTTTGAAGAAAAAAAAAGTCTAATTTCCTCTTGTTCCGATTCTCAGATCAATTAAAAATCCAATTTACTTGGTCGCCGCTACTTTGAGACCTGAAACAATGTACGGTCAAACGAATTGTTGGCTGCATCCCGACATCAAGTACATTGCATTCGAAGTGACAAAACACAATGAGGTGTGGGTATGCACACGGCGTGCTGCACGAAATATGGCATATCAAGGTTTCACCGGGGCTGATGGTAAAATCAATGAATTCGCCGAGGTGACGGGATCGGATTTGTTCGGGGTTGGTTTGAGTTCACCATTGACATCGCATAAAGTGATCTATGCACTACCAATGTTGAGTGTGAAAGAAGACAAGGGAACGGGTGTTGTTACATCAGTACCATCTGATTCACCGGACGATTATGCTGCTTTGGTTGACTTACAGAAGAAGGCTGCATTCCGTGAAAAGTATGGCATCAACGATGAAATGGTTCTCCCATTCGAACCAATTCCAATCATTGAAGTGCCAACACTTGGCAAATTGAGTGCAGTTACCGCATACAGCCAATTCAAAATCCAAAGTCAGAATGATCGCGATAAATTGCAGTCAGCCAAAGAATTAGTTTACTTGAAAGGTTTCTATGACGGTGTTCTGTTGGTCGGTGAATTTGCCGGCAAGAAGGTGCAAGACGTGAAAAAGGACTTGAAAACCTATTTGGTTGATCGCAAAGAGGCTGATGTCTACTACGAGCCCGAGAAAACGATTATGTCGCGTTCCGGTGATATGTGTGTCGTTGCCCTTTGCAATCAATGGTATTTGACTTATGGTGAAGAAAAATGGCAAGCACAAACATCAGGTGCTTTGAAGAAAATGGAATTGTATCACGATGAAGTACGGAAGAATTTCGAGGTTTGTCTCGACTGGCTGCACGAATACGCATGCTCACGTACCTATGGCTTGGGTACAAAATTACCGTGGGATCAACAATGGTTGATTGAATCACTGTCCGATTCTACCATTTACATGGCATTCTATACGGTTTCCCATCTGTTGCTCGGCGGTAGTTTCAAGGGCGAAAAACCAAGTCCATTAGGCATCAAAGCCGAACAAATGACAGCCGATGTTTGGGATTACATTTTCTTCAATGATGCTACACTACCAGCAAAAACTGCGATCAAGCGTGAACACTTAGATTTGATGCGACGAGAGTTTAGATATTGGTACCCAGTTGATTTGCGAGTTTCTGGAAAGGATTTGATTCAAAATCACTTGACATTCTACTTGTACAATCACACGGCCATTTGGCCGACGGAGCCAGATCTGTGGCCACGCGGTATTCGCTGTAACGGCCATTTGATGCTGAACTCAGCCAAAATGTCGAAGTCAGACGGAAACTTCCTCACTCTGTCAGAAGCCATCGAGAAATTCAGTGCGGATGGAACACGTTTGTGTTTGGCCGATGCTGGTGACAGTATCGAAGATGCCAATTTCGTTGAATCCAATGCCGATGCTGGCATTTTGCGTTTGTACACATTCATTGAATGGGTTCAAGAAATGATCGAATCGAAATTGTTGTTGCGCAATGGACCAAAGGACACATTTAACGACAAGGTCTTCATTAGCGAATTGAATTTGAAAACGAAGGAAACGGCGGAATATTACGAAAAGTTGTTGTTCAAAGATGGTTTGAGGTGAGAAGCTTGATTTTTTGAGTTTTTTTGAAGTGAATACTAGAAAAAAATGATTTTTATCTTCAGAACCTGTTTCTACGAATTGCAAGCGGCTCGTGACAAATACCGTGAACTTTGCGGTGCATCCGGTATGCATGTTGATCTCGTATTCGAGTACATTCAACGCCAAGCGCTGTTGCTATCGCCGATTTGTCCTCATGTCGCCGAACATATCTGGACTTTGTTGAACAACAAAGGCAGCGTTCTGAATGCCAAATGGCCAGTGGTTGGTAAAATCAACGAAATAGATATCAAGTGAGATATTTTTCAGTATTTTTTGCTTTTTCTGTTTTTAAACTTATAATTCAACAGCAACGAAAGCGACTTTTATCTCACAGCTTTGCTCAAACGGCATTTAAAAATGAATCATTTTTCTTGCAGACGTTCTGAATATTTGATGGCGGCTGCTCACTGGTTCCGTATCACGCAAAAGCATGCTTCACAAGTCAAGATCAAGGGTGGCAAAGAGCTGAAAGGCAACGCACCGAAACCAACGAATGGATCGATCTGGGTGGCCAAGACATTCCCACCATGGCAATCGTGCATTTTGAATACATTGAAAGAACTGTTTGAGAAGCACAATGGCTTGCCGGACAACAAACTCATCTCTGTTGAACTGGGCAAGAAGGATATTCTCAAGAAATACATGAAAAAAGTGATGCCATTCGTACAGACCATTCGTCGACGTGTCGAAGCCGGAGAAGGCAAAAAGGCACTCGCAACAACACTTACCTTCAATGAACTTGAAGTTTTGCAAAGTAACTTTGAATACTTGAAACTTACCTTGGATGTAAGAGCATCGATCAGTTATTTCTTTCATATCTTAATTCTTATGATCATTTGTGTGCTTAAATGAGTCGTCATTACATTATATTGTTTTGCAAATTTCAGCTCGAAACATTAGAAATCCATAGTACCGATGAGAAGAGTGCACCGGAAAAGGTGCGAGAAGAAACTTGCCCTGGAAATCCACACATCGTATTCAGCGCAAAACCAGCGGTGCAAGTTGTTTTGGAGAATCCAGTCCCACGGACCGGATTATTCACTATCACAAGCAACATTTCGAATGGAGACACCGCCCAATCATTTATCAACAAAATCACAAAAATTGTGGGGCTCAAAGGTGAGTGGAAATTGCTGTGCCGATGAAGCAAAATGGTTTAATAATGATCTTCTTTCTCTCCAGACGTAGACGCTCTCCGAATCTGGCGTTTTGAAGACCCTGTGCTTGGGCCACGAAAGTTGCCAGCATTCAATGAACCACTTAAAGGAAAAGTACTCTTGGAAAATGGTGTATTTTCGATTGATGTCGAAAAGAATGAAGTCTATTTACAAACGGAATCAACAAAACTAAATGTTGGCACATCATTTATCTACGTTGTTGAATAAACCCATAAATCCAAACTCAATTCAAACTCATTGTTACATAAAAAGAAAGTATCTCCACGATAGTTTTGCAATAAATTTTCTTGAAAATTCATCAATTTTGAGATTTTGTTTTCATATTTGAATCATACTGTTTGATGCTCATTGTTCAAAATTACGGTCTTTCCCGGTTAATGGTAAGGTAACGAAAAGTATATGCTCCATGGCTGCAAATAAAAACCAAATCCATTTGTTTGGAATAAAGGTAACTTTATTGTCGCATTGACATTCAAAAAAAGTGGATAAATCTTACTACATTACGTGTTTGTGCGATTGAATTTTTTTTTCTATCGGAAGACAAAAGTTTCGATCGGAAATTACAGCTAAACAAATTCGATTTTGAAGGATTTTTTTTCATGCGTTTCAAACTACTAGTATACAAAAGAATAAATAAATTATTTTGTTTTCACAGATTGAATTTTTCTCTTCTATCGTGGTGTTTCACCAAATGTTAATGGGCTTGCTTGTGGACTCTGTCGATTGCGAACTTCATTGAGTTCGTCGGCTTTAATTCTATCGTTGGTGTAACCCAATGAGCCAGATCCCAGGTAGACTGCACCGTTTGGTAGGCGCACGTATCCCAGTGAGCCAGATCCCAATTGAACTGGCCGAACCGGCTGAACTGGTGCAACTCTCGGATTTATCGCGCTAAATGGGTTTATTGTGTTGATTGAATAGAAACCATTGAACGGGTTATTTTGAGCGGGTACTGTCTGTGGTGGTGATGGTGTTATTGTTGGAAAGCCTAAATTCGGCAGTTTAGAAGCCGGTACATTGTAATTGGCCGGAACAAATGGCATGAAACGGCTCAAAAAACTATTCAATGCATTGATATCGTCGACATTTTCTTCGGATACAAAATATTGCTTCAAATATCGTCCATTATGATAGTAACTATAGTCATCGAAAAGGTCATTCGGAGATTTTACTGTTCCAAAAACTGTCGAAAGTGTTTGGGGTGTGTAATAAGTTGGACTAAAAGCAGTCAATTTACTCAAATCGTTTGTTGTCACAAAATTACTGTCGTAACCGGAATAAACGGGAGTATTCACAGGGTCCAAAAATGTTACTGGCAACGATGGCTCGATTGGCAGCACTCCGATATTTGGATGAAGAATTGCATTGACCAAACTAATATGGAACACGGCGCCCACCGCAAATATGCACACAAAATTGCTCTGAAAGTATGAAAAAAAAAATATGAGTAAATTGCAGTTGGTCAACAGAATGAAATCGAAAGCAAAATAACTTAGGCTAAAAAACACACGCGGAAAAATAAAAGCAAAAAAAAGGTACTGATCAAACGTGAGCTACGCAAAATATGCGTATAAGTAGATTTTTTTTTTGCTGTTGTTTGTAGAGTCCGCGACGAGAAAAAACGTATCACACCCGGAATTCAATAACAAGCAACGACGACGGCGCATACATTAGAGCACACACTTAGATTACTCTAGTCTTGTGCGCATACGTGCAAATGCAAGCGGCCGTGCTTATTTAATTAGTGTAAAAGCTTGTCGCTGCAGTACATCACACCAAGAAGCATAGCTATTTTCCGCTTGAAAACGCACATTTTCGTCGATTTATGCGAGACTGCAAGTGCGAATGGTTAGTACGCGCGCGAGCGCAAGGATCGAACCAAACCTAATGGTCGTCGATTAAAATTAATGTTTCATAGACCCATTCATTACACAATTTATTCATGTTTCACATACACGCGCTCCGTTCTTGGTAATTTGGATTGCGAGCAAATGAGTGTTTGGATTTATGCGTTAAACGTGCTCTCCAACAATTCATTCTAAATACGCTTTTGTGCTGTTGCTGCTGCGGCTAATCCACATATAACAGACATACATAATGCGTTCAAAATGTCGATTCGAACAAAACGGCGTTCGGATTTGGAATGCACCGATTTGAACATTATTAAAAATTTCAATCAAATCCAAATTCAAATACATTTCACAAGCATAAATATTTACTAAATGGCACTTGAGTTAAGAAGAGAGAGAGAGAGAGAGAGAGAGAGAGAGAGAGAGAGAGAGAGAAGTAAGCACTGCAACAGCGCCAAATTGCACGCAGAGTATGCGTTTTTTTTCTTCTCCTCATCGACTTTGTGTTGTGCATTGCGTATGACGACAACGACGGAGACGAAGACAACGAACGTCGCAATAAATATTTCATTGCATTACTCATTCTCGCGCCGTTGACTGTTCAATGTTCACATATCCAAATGCTAGATGTATATCGACATGCTCACTTCTCCGAAACGTAAATGCTGCCGCAGTTTTCGTCTTTGTCGTTGTCGATGGCTTGCTTTTTTTCATTTATTTTTTCTTTCTCTCTGCCGAGCCGAAACCGAGACCGAGTGTGTTTATGACACGACACGTATAAAAATGATACACATTTTATGCCTAATCCATTTCTAAATGTATCTCCATTGCGCGTTATAAGTATCTATTTTAATGCTCAAACGATCTTTAAGCTATATATATTTTTTTTCTCTTTCGTTTAATAATTTTTGTTTGTCATTTTTCCATTCGGATTCGCGGCTAAATGCTAAATAATTCATGATTTAAAAGCTCGCAAAATCATAACAGTCAGACAAATATGGAACAAAAAAAAACACACACACACGGCATATATTTTGAATGAAGTAGTTTTTTTTCGTGATCGATACACACACATGCCATGGCGCGCTGTGCCCAAGATTCAAAAAACGGATAATAAAAACGCAAGAAAAAGTACAAACTGAATGTAGAGTGCAAGCGTGCGCACAATGCACAACCATCGGGAGAACCAAGATTCGAAACTTGTAAAACGTGAATTCAAATACGTGTTACATAAATGCGTAATCGATGACGGCGGTTTTTTTTTCTCTCTCTTGTAGTCGTGGTCGTCTCTTAAACAAACAAGCAACAATAATTAAGATTAATTTGATTTTTCGAAGGTTTCTAGTCCAACGAATCCAAAATCCGAACCGATCGAGTTTTCTTTCAATTTGCTCGGAATATACATGTCAATTGGGTTGGCGGCCGCGGGAACACTTGATATACAATTCACTTGGCAGTTATCACTTTTATCGTTATTTTTTACTATTCCTTTTAATTATTCACTTTCTCTCAAAAATCCACTTTTTGATTACCGCATAAATACATTTTGGATAGGCCGATATTTTGTAATCGCCAGTCACTAATCGGCCTACATTGTTACTCTTCAAAATTGAATAATAATTTTTTTTGCATAAAACTTTAAATTTTATTTTGAACCAGCTACAGTTCCAACACATTTACGTACCCATTGAATAGCCATGTTATGAAAGATTCTTTTGAACAGAAAACTAAAAAAAAAAATCAAAAAAAAACCGTAAAAATTCAGTGCAATGCGTAAAATGTCATCATCACTTTGATCGCAGTTCGTAAGTGATGTTGAATTATGTAAAGTTCACGCGCAAAGTGGCCAGCGTTCAGGTTTTTCCACGTCGCAGCTTGACCGATTCGAACTGTTTTAGGACAAGAGCTTAACTAAAGTGATTCGTACGAATGGAACCGTCTTTTATAGTTGTTATAGTTTGAGGCGCATGTGCGCGCGCCTGTGCGAATTTTTTACTTCTCGTCTGCACCTTCTTTTGGCTTCGCAGACTCTGCATCAGATTACATTGTGTAGGTACATGACTTGTAATGTTTACGAGGCGCAAACAGCGTTCGTTTTAACGGAGAGATCTGTGGTGTGTTTTTTGTTTGCTTCTGCTGTTGGGCCCTGTGTAAATGGATACATTACCTCTTCAGTGCATGGCTAAAGGTGAAAAACAAAACTCAATCCACAATCGCATTTTTTGTTCAGCTTCGTTGTGTCGTATTTAAATCGAATTTCTCTGTTTGTTTATTCCAATTTCAATTGGCTTCTTGACGAGTGCGAATAAAAAACGGGTTCGCAATTACTCCATTATCCAGTATCGGAGATTGGGCTGTTTAAATGTGTGGTAGCAAATCGGCAGACATATATGAATTTATTAGACATTCAAATTGCGGTGTATGTTACGCGATTTAACATCTTTTGTTTTATGATTTATGGCTCTAAAAGCGCAAGACATTTAATCCTAATGTAATGACGGGCAACAACACGTCAAGTTGCTTTTATTTCAATTCTAGAGCCCTATCGATTGGGTTACGTTAAAATCGAACGTTTAATTGATTTACACGCTTGCCTTTTGCACGAAATATTATATTCTGTGAGTGTGATTCGGTGCTTAGGATTTTCCAAATTATGTGCCATAATTAGCGAAAAATTTTAAGTCTTTTCACGCCACACACAATCACTTAATTGATGTGTTGACTTTCAATTTCACTTTGCCGAAAAAAAAACTTAAATCACGATGAAATACATTCCCATCTATTGTTCCACATTTACATAAATGGTTTCACTCGATCGTTGGCATCGCACATTTTTTGTTCGCTTCAATTTAATTGCAAGCCGAGTCGTTGTGCGGCTCAATTCAAAAGCAGTTGATTCTATCAAAATCGACGTTTATTGCTGGATTAATGTCCGTCAGCATTGTAAACAATTGATTTATCTATCTATAAGCCAACAAATCTTGATCTTATTTTCCCACTTGGGCTTGAAAGTTTGCCTCAGCTCAGACAAACACATGTAAGGCAAATATTTGATTTACAGAGAACAAGAAATCATAAAAATAAATTCCAAGAAAAATATTGGCGAACTCGAGTGCTTATTTTGGTAACTAACTGTCTGACAGAGCAACAACAACAATAGCAGCAACGAAAAATGCTTGCATCAAAAAATGTTATCCAAATAAAGGTGTTTTATTGATTTATTGATGTACATTTTAAAGCCATTTTAGACCACGGCATTCCAAAACCATTTTAATTCGTGATCAATCAACAAATTGCCATTTAATTGCATTTGGACATATTTAGTATGCGACTATGCACCAGTTTTTATTCAGCTGTCTTCGTTTTCCTGACGAAAATATGTGACGCAACTACTCAATCATATGTTCTTTTTTTAATTTTTCCAATGAACATATGTTTTTCAAATAGATTATTGCGTTTAAAAACCGCAATTGCTTCATTTCGATCTCATGTCGCCTGAAATGGTGACAATTTTCCTTAAATCAGGCAATGTATTGCAAGAAAAAATAAAAGCAATTTCCAATAATGATGAATGACACTTCTGTTTCACTCCTCATTGATCTGTCTCTATCTTATCTGCTTATTTGTCGTTGAATGTCTCAACCAGTCTTAAGCCAAAACACCGGCGACGGTTTGCCATTTTCCAATTTGATTAATTAAGATGACATGAGATGCTATTTAAGAAACAGTTGAAAATGTCATGAAAACATCGAAAACATTTAACCTTTCGAACCATTAGGAATACCGTCGGGAAGGAGGCAGCATGCCGGCTAATCAACACGATTCCGTTCGTTGTATGTGGAAAAGAATCGATTTCAACAACAAATATCCATCAATTCCACGCGCGCCTTCCATTTAAGATGTTTGATACTGTGTTACGAGCCCATTGCTCGTTAACTGCACCATTTCAATAATAATAATTTCGTTTGTTTGCATGCCCGTTTGTCAGTTTCGTTTTCTTCCTCTCTGTTCATTTCAAACGCCAGTGCCACAACTGATTTGATGTTTATGACTTTGTTTGATTTGTAAATGGCTAATACCATAGCATTGTGTGTTCTTATTTTATTCGAATTTTCGAACTGTCTCTCAATGCAGCCTATATACATTCGTGTAATAAATTCGTGTTTCGTCGAAAATGTGAAGAAAAGGAAATCGCGCAAATGTAAATGCCGTCGACGTGGTATCAACGAAACTAATCTGTTTATTGAAAAATCAACATAAAAGCGTGACATGTCAACCGGTAATTATGTTCTCTTGTGCAGCGCAAGGAAAAAAAAAACACTTTTTTTCGCGCATTTTGTTAAGTCACTACGTTAACACGGGCCAACATTGTGATTACTGTTAATCACATTTGATGAATGTAAATGCGAAAATTAACAATGATTCTATGGGTTGGTACAAGCGATTTGCCGCGTTTTTCTTTCGTTGCACATACTTTGAGGGCATTTTTGCACTTGATTGACGGACGCAAAGTTGCCGGCAGCAATGGTGGTGTTCAGTTAATTTGCTGGGTTCAGAAGTCAACGATCAGATAAAGCACGTTTTTTTTCCTTCTACCAACATACTTTTTGTGTGTGTGTCCAGTGAGCTGTGATACGCCCCGAAAAAAATCTGATCATAATCATGTACTTAAATAATAATCGATTTATTCGTGTATTCTAACTCTTTGATGCAAAGAAAAAACTAACTGAAATTCATTTGGAAATGCAGACCATTTTGGCGCAATGCACACAAAATCCAAATTCGTGCGAACATGACACAAATTTTCGCCTAATTCCAATCGACCGTACTCGGCAGCATTGTCGTGTTTCTGCAAATATCAATTGTGATAAATTTAATAAAAAAAAAAATACGTAAATAATTCCGAATGACTTTTATTGTGTATTATTTGACTTCTCTGTCACCATTGAGTCGACGTGTGGTTTGACTTAAATCCGAGTTTAAGGTCTTGATTTTGCGACAATTGTAGGCTTGCCTTCGAGCATTTCCAGCCGAATTGAGCCGTATACACCGAATGATGACTAACAACAATTGAGCATAAATATTTGCCAAAATGATTCAAAGAGAGTGTTCGAAGTAGTTACAGGTTCGTACACATGCATTGCACTTGCAATCGCACGATATTGCACATTCTTTTTGTGAATATTGGACACAATACGTCGAGCCGAAAGGAGAAAAAAAAATTGAATACATGTTCCATGTCGAGTATTTTATAATCGATTTATTAAATATTACCTGTTATTCCGCCTTTCAATGGCATCGCATTTTCATTTCAATTCCAATCGTAAATGCTATGCTGAACATGCAACATTCGAAATACGTTTTACTTCTCATTATTTCATTTTTGATGGTAGATACTTCAATTATATTTGCAAATGATGAGATATTCGAATTAAACGGTTTTTTGCTTGAAAATGTGATGAAAAATTCCGCATTCTCGTTCGTTTCATCGGAAAATTAATAAGCTTTTAAGTCAATTGGATCAAATTCGACAATAAATACTTGCAATCGAAAATAAATAGGTACCTCCATGATCTTTTATAGCCTTTTAACACATCGCGTTTGCATGATAATTGGTACTCCTTGGCCTTGCACGTGTGTGTCTTGATTTATCGAAATTAAACGTGGTGCACGCGGCGCGTAGCCACGAGATGAGAATTACGAAATTTCGAAAGTATTTTCTTTGATATGATTTAGATAAATTCTATCTGCGCTTAAATGCCTAGCAGCCGTCTCAAGTACGGTACGGTACGTACCGAGCGTAGCGTCGTCAATATTGCAGTGTAGATGAAATCAGTTTTTGCAAACAATTTTCGCATTGGATTCATGTACGATATTTGATATGATCGAAGAGCTTGCTATTTTACACGATGATTTTTTTTTACCCATTAAGCAGCACATGAACTCAGCCAGACAAGATAGAGAGAGAACCCGAATTTGCAAAAGGTTCAAATCAGCCGATGCGAAAAACAAATCACAAAGAAGAATATAAGATATTTGCCATTTTGCTGAAACCAAATCAATTCCGTAAGTGGTTGTGTTTGCAACTGACTTTGTCATCCAATTCCAATCGATCCAGTGTTAATGTTAATTCCATTATGTAACCGCTTGACTTGAATAATAACGAATAAGACGGTTTGACCCGAATTCAGTACAAACGTGCCTCTCATTTTGCGACGCGAGCGCAATAGCTGGCAACACTGAAACCTGTGCAACAACAAACTAGTTCAATTGGTAACTCTCAATATATCGATGGCTTTGGACAATTTTTTGTCTTGGGAACAGCACGAACTTTGCGTTTTTAGCCTAGTAAATGTTCTGCTCATTGAAAATGCAATAAAAAGAATGGCTTCATTTTAGTTTTTAAAGTGAATCTTTATTAGTTCCTTGACATTGAAATTTCAAATTTATTCAGTTGTTGTATTCTTTCCCGTATCCACCGCACAATTCGATATTTATTGACCAGACAATTTTATGAATTCGCTACTTTTATGTTTCAATATTGGTTTTGAACATTTCAGTCTTGTTCAAATGATTTCGAATACTCATATTGAATATTTTTATTCTTATGAAGACAATTGAAATCACATCTAAGTTAAGTCTCAATTAACTTAAATCTCTTCTTAATTTTTTTTTTCTAATAGTAACTTTTTAGGTTGTTTCAACTTGATCTGGAGTGCTCAACAGGCGAAAAAGTTGAAATAGAAGCTACTTATACCATCCTCATAATACAAAGCGGATCAAAAAATGACATAAGGCTTGCAATGATCAAAAACATTTATCGCTTGAAGAAGCTGCCCTTTTACCGTTTCCTCTGTGTTAGTTCCACACATCGGTTAGAAGATGGGAATAATGTCGGAACAAAATTTGTTTATACATTTTTTGGAAGAACAAAGAAACTAGGGAAAAAACTGAAGATTTGCATTTGGAAGAATCTGCGATATGACTGTTTACGTAATTCATGTTGAAATAAGACGATTAATTCATACTTCATTTTTCTTTCAACTGAATCTTTATTAGTTCTTTGACATTGATATGATAAACTTATTCATTAGTTCCATTCTTTCTAGCTTACAATACACAAAAGTATGACATGATTAACCACAAAATATACATTCAGTTTGTCTGCTGCTTTCACGTTTAAATAATCCAATTGCACGACTATTAAACTTAGTATAAATATTCTTTGTTATCTATAAAGATATAGAGCAACGTCCGTGCTGAACTCTAATTATATAAATTTTATCCTAATTTTCTTCTTATGTTGACTGATCACTTTCCAACTAACGAATGCATTTTGTGAGAAATCTACCCTGTATTTCTTTTCAATTATATTGAAGCAATGCAATATCGTAAACATTTCATCTTTTTTCATACCCTAACAAATCTCATATTTTGTCAAAATTGTTAATCGTTATATCAATTCATTCAATCAATAAAATTAGTAGTTACTAAAACGAAGAATTATATAAATGCGTGGGCACAACAGAGCGACTTAAATTCGAAATTATCTTAAAACGAGTAAATACAAAACAGACATCCATACAAAAGTATGGAGATATTACATTTCAAAATATTTTGAATCGAAGTTGCTTGTTTGTATTCATGCTTTAACATTTATATCCAAATACAAAATTTTTCTTAAAATTAATAAAATGAAACTATAGAGATTTCATGTTTCGACATCAAAAATCAATAAATTTTATATAAAAATATCTTAAGTAAAATATTTGAATGATCTCATCTCTTATTTAAACATAGAAAACGGGCCATCTATTGTGTACAAAAATATTTCTTGTGCTCATAGCACCAGAAACTAGTTTTAATTAGCTTTTTCATCGGGTGGTGTCGTGTCGAGAGACATTGAGTCGATAGAGCTGTAAACATTGGGCATAAATAATAATCCATCAGGAATTTATTCATGATACAAACTTAATGTTAAGAACAATCAATACAAATTTGAAAGAGAAGGTGCAAGACAATTGTACCTTGTTTTGTCTTCTTTATCTTTATCGCCCAATCGCTTCGATGATGAATCTGTATCGATGTCCATTTGTACTGAGTCGGCCGGAACTTTGGATCGATCGCTCGATACGGACACTTTGCTGGATTGCACGATGGAAATGGATGCGTTAGATGCGATCGAAATGGATACAGAACTGGAAAAATGCAAACACCTACGAATAGTATTCGCCACAATGGGAAAAAGTTGTCAAGAAAACAAATGAATGTATGAGTTTTATAACTGTTGCTCAACTTCCATCCTTTCGAATGTACTTGTTTAATTGTTTTTATGAAAAATGATTTTGAAAAAAATCCAAACTTAACAGAAAATTATTTTCATTTACTGTTTTTGCAACAATTTACCAAAAGGATAAATCTACACGAAAAGAAAAACTGAAATGAAAGCTCCGAGATATATTAGAGAAAATTGGAACGATAGACTATCAGTAGAAGATTAGCGCAAAAATTAAGCAAACAAACTACGCAAAGTTAATTCAGAGAAATGGTAGAACAAATGGACAGAAGTGAAATACCTGTATGCAGTACAACAGTTATAAAGGAATACGACCAATATCCAAAGGCATCGAACAAACGCACGCACGCATTTAATATTGTTGATCGCAAGGACATTGGTGCCATCTTATTCATCATACATTTTACACGATTATTTAATTCTTATTCGTCCGCATTTATTTTTGTCTTCCCCGATTTCGGATACAACGTTTCGATAGAGTTTGGCCAACGATAAACTGGCTTAGAGAAAAAGTCCATTCAAGCCCAAAAACTGAATGCCACAGTGAATGACGACTTTTACGTTGTGCCCATGGAAAACACAAACTGTAATTTGTTTGAAGGCTGAAAAGATGCCTTGTTCCCATGTGCTGCCAGATTCATCGACCATTTTGTTAACACGATTTTCGCTTTAAATAATTTTAAACATTTAATACAAAACACACTGCCAGGAAAAAGAAACAAAATTTTCTCAAAAAAAAAAAAGTGCTTTACGTGAAAAGAGCTGCAGATTTTCGCATTTAAAAAAAATTATCAATAATAAATTTGATAGAATTCGCAAAACGATCTATAGCAAACCACTGAAGATGTACCAATGTGAAAATGTCGTCTAATGATCGAAATGTGGAAGGTATTTGCTTACATATCGGGATTTGATGACTCCGGGCAAGCGAATCCAGAAAATCCATTTGTGCTGGTTGAATTGCGGTTTGTATTCGATCTACTGGTGTGAATTTGCCTGCTGAAAAATGCCAATGAGTTCATTGTATTAATTGACAGCCATAGAACAAAAGAACAATTTATGAGCTCTTTCTTTTGTTCTAGGGATGTCTATTGGTTTTAAATTCTTTCTTCATATTCGTTTTTTTTCTGTTAATTTCGTGGTTTTTTCTTGATTTGCACTTACTTCAAAATCGAGCTGGTGTTAAGTATGTTGGTTGGTAGAGTAAAATTAAGATGGCCATTTGTTTTGAAAACATCGCCATTTTTATCGAATTTTTCCTCGTGATTGATTGCGAGCATAGTAAACTGAGTCGATTTCATTTTCAATTCATTCACATCGAATTTGAGTGCCGCTAATTGAATAAATTTACGCTCAGATTTAGTATTCATTATTCAATATTGTGTCAATTATTTAATTGAATTTCAAATGAAAACAAACAACGAATTACTTTTATCGATTGGTCCAAGCTTATTAGCTACGCGGTATAGAATATCAGCTGTCCAAAACTCTGGAACACGTACAAACAGTTTGCCAGCATCAACCGGCAAATGAAAACCCAATTGATGCAATAGTAAAATAAACGGTTCATACGATAATATGGCAGCCTGTTCCGCATTGTATGGCACCACTGGGACTGATTCTTTTTTCACTACAAAAATGAATCAAATTTTTTCAATCGAACAGTTAAAATGATAACGTGAAAAATGAATAAATGTCAAACTAACGAATGCAATGATGTGGCACTGGCTCAATAATTATCATTTCGTCTTGATTTTTTCCGATGATTTGTTTCTTCATAAAACAAAGCTTAGCAAAGCAATACTCAATCAAAATGCTCTGCAACCAGAGAATATGTTTTCCTTTATCCTCTCGAAGTAATCGCTCTTTGAGAATCTGTTTGGAATATCTTATTAAAATTTTATCACTTCAAATTTAGTACGACTTCAGTCGTATTATGTCTCCATTTCAAAACATGCACGACAAAGGCCAGAACTAAATACAAAATAAACCAAAAACAAATTACCTGAATATCATCATGTGTCTTTTCTGCTTGTTGATCTGGTCGAACAGAGCTACTGGCTGAAGTGTTTGACTCATTCGGCGACCTTGCATTTGGTTTCAGTTGGAAATTTCGTTCAAACTCCACATTTTCATACTTCATCAATGCATTGAATTCAGACCGATTTATGATGTCCTGTTGCAACAGCTGTTGTATAACATCGATGCGATACTTTGGCTTGAAATTACTATCGCGAAAACGTTTCAAAATTTGTCCAATGCTATCCGGATAACTTTTGCTCTCTTCGTAGAACCAATAGAGCACATCCATTTCTTCTTTGCACCAGGCATCATAGCTGAATATATTCGATGTTATGAATCAAGGTTTTTATTTAGCAAAAAAAGTATTCAATCGAAAGAAAAAATAGCATAGAAAAACCAAACTCTCCCTTCGAATATTCTTACCACAGACTCTTTTCATTTGAATGATCAACGTGATTTCCAGCAGCTAAAGATGGTGCCGATGATAGGTTAATTGGTGGTTTCTGAGGTGTACTTATAAATTTTGTCATTACATAGAAAATTAGATCGGACCAATCCTGCGATATATCCGGAAAAATATTAGCCAAAATTGAAACAAAAATGTGCTGAAACCTCGGCTTACATCACATAGTTCATATTCCGTTTCCCAGATTCTCGAATACGTTTTCAGTATAACCGGTTGAAATAGGGCTGTCACTTTTCCAAGCTCGCCACCAATGTGATACATCATCGTGAGAATGCAATCATTTACGAATTCACCATTTTCTAAAAAGCCTTCCAGAAGAATCCCGTATTGTTGCATCATTTCAACGGTGGCAAATCTGTTCAAATGAAAGAATAAGAAATTACTCATTGCGATAGGTGATGACTCATCACCGATGAGATCGGAAATGACCATTTAGCAAACTTTACTACCAAAAAAAAACAAGTAAAAAACTCACTGTTGAATATGCTCCTTCAGTTTGGCCTTGGTCTTTGGATCCGATGCATTTTCAACCGAATCCGGAATCAGAAGTAAAATATGATTGGTGACAATTAAATCTTGTAGATATTGTTTGCTCTGAATCGATGGCTTGTAATTTCTGATCAACAGGATAAACAGTTGTTTCAAATCTTCAGTAACACTAATTTGTAATTGCAAGAAGCGAATGTATTCCACATCGCTTGTGCTCAAATGTCCAATGTTTGAGTACGTGTTGAGCGCTTGTAAAAATTCTCTAATTGCCGTTACGACCAAGTGCATTCGCCGTAGGCTTGGTTCCAAATCAATTTCATAATGTCGTGACGTTAGCTCAAGTTGTTCATAGAGCATAACCGCTTCATAGGTTAAATAGCTCACAATTTTGTAAGACAGAACACATTTGATGTGCTCGAGATCAAGTTCCAATTGAGCAGCAAATTTGAGAAAATAAGTGACCAGCCAGAAAAAGTGGGAGGTGTCAATGTGCGTTTGCTGAAAATGAAGACAAAAAACAAACGTTATTTGAATCCCAATTCACACATCAGGGCCTAAAGAAAACCTTATTCAAACAACTGTGAAAAAAAACTCAATTTACCAAATCCGAATCGGACAATAGTTTAGCATGAAGCTCCTGCATTAAATGACCGTATCCTTTGAGCAAAAAATCCACCGTGAATTCCTTCAAAATATTCGAAATATCCTCATCAGTGGGTGTATGATGAACCAGTCCCTTCATATTGATACTGGAAATAATGGGAAAGATTAATTTGATTAGACAATTTGCGGAATTTATTTTTCAAAGGATAGTGCAGTCGCTTACAGACTGCTTTTGCTTCTTTTCACAAGCTTTTTTCGACGTCGATCTTTTTGCTCTTGCATTGACAGCACTTTGCATGGCTTTTTAACCACATGGAATCGTTGTGGTTTTTGGTGGAAATTTTTATTTGAATGGTCTTCACTACTGGTGATCGAAGTGGATTCGGGATGAGTACCATAGCCACAATCGGATTGATCCGTTGTTAACGGATATTGCGTTCGTTTTTTACCATTTTCATCAAATGTTTCAGCTGCCTTATTTTCAGCTACATTTGGCTCGGATGGATCGATTTCAATATTCTGCATGGATTTTTTCATAAAAATATTACAATTTATATCAACAAATGGACGAAAATGATTACAACATTATAATCATCATTAATTTTAATTTAAGCAAAAAAAGCCTATTCTAAATGAAATTGCATTGAGAAAAAACATATTATAATCGTGCATACCCATTGAAACTGTTTACTTTGCTTCTCAACTGGTTTTTCTGCTTCGTCGTTCATTTCGTCTTCGGTCAGTGTTAACGTAGCCGATTCGTCCGTATTCTTTTTACACTGTTCGATGCTCTGCTGTGACTGTAAATGCAAAGCGGCTTCCACACTTTTCACATCTGCTTGTGTTCGTCTGGTAGCTTCGCTGGTTTTGTCTGTGTTTTTCCCATTGCCACCTTAATAGCCAATTAAACGTGTCGAAGAAAGTGTTAATAGTACGTTATTATTGATAGCAATTACACGCAGTTGTAAGGTAATAATTTTTCAAATTAACTAATAATCGATCCCTTACCTCCATTATCCGATGAGTCCGATGTGGGATCTGATGTGAGAACGGGACTTGATTCGCCGCTGTTTTCTTTCTGCGGCGGTGTTGTGTTACTTTCAAAGTCATCCGAGCTATCGGACAGCGCGTCTTCTAGCCAAACATTGAGCATTTTCTGCAATGTGCTCGCCTGCTGATCCTTGTATACGACCGAAATCAATTGAACCATTGTAACGCTCCAAAAATCACGTTGCGAACATGACATCAAAAACAGCAATAGTTTGTCAATGCTCATCATAAATAAATGCCAAATGATTTTATTTTGCATCGATGCCGTGTGGTTTTTTCGTTCGCCTACGATGCCATGTGAATGTGCAAGATTTTCCGGAATGTGCAAGATATTGCGCAGTAATAACAGGCAATTATTGATACTGTCACACTGTTCGAATAGCAGCTTGTTGCCATTGTCAATAACATTTTTCATGTGTTCGATGACTGCACGTGTTGCACGAGCATCTGTAAACGATTCCTTGCAGCTTGTTAGCAACATTGTTAAATCGGATACGGTGTGTCGGCCAATTTCGGTACGCATCATTACTTTTGTGGAGAATAAGCATTCGACGGGCATTGTTAAATTCACCAAAATGCGAATCATCATATCGATGAGTTTTGGATCTTTGACATTGATCAGAAATGGGATAAGGTCATTTTTCACATAGTGTCCCAGTCCAAGTGCACGACGAAATGTACGCAACGTTTGGTCCTCACATGTTAATTTGCAGTAGATTTCGTTGAGAGCATCTAGCGCCCGATCAGACACATTATATTCGTCGTCGACTGCTTTTCCCAACGCCAAAAATGTACTATCAATCTTCTGACTCAAATACATCCTTTCCATAATTTCTCCAAATAACTGTGATCGACGACTAATCCCTTCATACATACTATGTAGTACGGTGGACGGTTGGCGCTTCTCTCAATTCGTGTTTCATCAAAATATCTACAGAAATAAACATCATCAGGTTTATATAATCGAATATATGTTTTTTTTTTAAATCATCCAAATCTAAATTTAGGCACTTTAATTTATGGCTGACAGTTTCAGAATTACATATATTTTGATGCATCCAATTCCAATAGGAATAACAGAAGTTGAAAGAAAAACTCTTATGAAAGTATCGAGTGTCGAGTTTTCTTCCATCTTTTGCACAAGCCATGGTTATTGCCATAGAACATTCTATGTAGGAATATTTTTGTAATACAATAGGTCACGTGGATGTATAGCATGCTGAGTAGTCTGCAGCATAACCTGACTCGAAACACGTTAAACGCCGTTTAAATGAAGTTAAATGGCCTTTGTGTCTATCGCTCAACTTCAGACTCAGAGTAATACAAAAAAGAACGTTTCTTTGCACGAGCTTATTGAGAGTGGAACTTTTCTATATTTAGGTTGCCATGTGATTAAAAGCAAAAACAAAGAAATTGTATGCGAAGGACTTTCCTTCTGATGCATTCAATATAGAACATTATCAATCAAAGAAGTGAACGATTTTCAAATCACATCAGTGAAACCTTTGAATATGCACCCATTTTCAAATGTATCAAACAGAAAGCAGAACAGTTGATATAACAATATTCTAATCATAATGTCAACTTCTTAAATGAATTAGAAAAATCAATAAATATTCAACAATTATTTATATTCATTATGTGGTATCATTTGATTTCCTGTCACATCTAAATTTACTTCATCAATTCGTTGAATTTGATTGAATGTGTGATCCGTAGAAAAGGAAATTTGCAAAACAGAGCATTTAATAGAAGGTTATAGCAACAAGGCTTTGGCCAACCAAACGATTTATGGACACGGAGATTTAAAAAAAAATTATGAATGAAAGAATTCATATAAATTATTCATGATATGCTGAATAATGAGCATTTTTTTATCGAGTTGCCAGCACATTTTCAATCCATTTACCACACACCAATTTTTTTCCGGAGGAAATCCAACTATTGTTTATAATCCATTTTAAATTATAATTTTGCTTTCAATGAACTCATTTAGTTTTTATACCAGAACAGAAGGTCACATCAAAGTGGCACGTTTTTATAGGAATGCTGACGAAAGTCGTTGCAAAACAAACGGGTGACTTCTCAATTTGATAAATAGTAGTGTGATCATAACCACAGAAAAGATATTACTATAAAAACAGTCCGAACGCGAGGGGGAAATCACTCAAAAAAAAATTCTTTTTGACAGGTAGTTTTTAGGTAATTCGTTGAACAAAAAGTAATTTTGAATGTAGTTTTTCGACTAAAAATTACTACAAATTACTTTTTATTCGATAAATTACTTGTCAAAAATATATTTTTCTATGATAAAATGTAATTTGTAATTCTTTTCGAAAAAGTAATAGTGAAAGTAATTTGTGAACCGAAAAAGTAATTTTCTAGAGTGATTTTCCCCTCCGTCCGAACGTGGTTGTTTCTTACAATTTTCTTCGCGTCTAAGCCTCAAATTACCTGCAATTTTTCCTCTATCGCTGCACAAAATTCAAATGCGCGTGTACGTATTTTTTTATAAACTACGTTTTTTTCTCGCTTCTCTGGAATGACCATTCAATTCTTGTTTACTTTTGGTGTGAATCGTATTTGCTTTGTCTGATATCCTGAATCACGATGCATTTGCTGATGTCGCCATTGAAATTAGTATTTACTATGAACCTGAATCATGCTCGTAGCTTACACGCGTATACATTGAAACGTGATATGTACGCGTTTTTTTTACTGGACGCCGCTTGAATAAGATGATTCAATTTCACGGAATCACAATTATACTATCTACGGTCGGCAATACTGATGTACCTTGAACTCACTGATTTTCAAAGAATTTCATGTGGTGATCTAGATCCGCTTTGCACTTGCTAACGATTGAAGGTACTCTATGGTTTCTTTATAATACGAAACAAGCTCTATGAACATTTCGATAGTAATTGGCATCGATTGCTTACCATAACAATTTTAACGTAAACTTTGATTCGGCCGTTTCGTTTTCGTCAACAAACAACTTCGCTATCTAATAGTACTTTCATAAATTGTCTTATGCAAGAATTTAATGCAGCTCATAGCTATTTAAACAGCAAACATAATTTCGCCGCAAAATCTTTGATCCAATTTGTGTATGGGCTTCTCTTCTTCACCTTTGTCCAATTATCTTTTACATCGAAAAAATTCACACAATTATCGATTTTTATTTCACACGCCAGTAGTATCATCGGTGAACTGGGGAATGTCTTTGAAATCACTCGAATTTCTGCACAAAACCGATTTATTCACGACAAAAAGAACTTATCTTTATCGAGAAAAAAATTAACGCTTAAATCACACCAAGATTTCCACTTGGATTTTTAGTAATTTTCATTCAATTTTTTAAAATTTTTGTTGAAATTACAAAAATATTTGAATTACACAACTTATTTTATTTTGTTCAATTTAAAGAATTCCACAAAAAAAACTCAAAATTCTGTATTTTCATCTAAAAAATTACTTCTAAATTTCGAACTGATCAGAATGAATTGAAAAACATTCTGTGTATCTGACGGAACTGTAACAGAATTCAAAAAAGCGTCTGTTTGCTTCGGCCGCTCGATGTGTAGTGTACTGAACTTATCTCAAACTGACTCCTCAAAAAAGTGGAAAATTTCTATTTACAACTGATCACACACCAATTTCGTTTACAATATTGTTATGGAATTGCTTAGACCGATTGAATGTTTTCGAACCAACTCACACTTGGCAATGGATTGTGTTACGGTCTTTCACGCATGCTTATGAAAACCAAAAGTAAACGGAAAATCACGTTGAATGGCCACGTGATGCATTCGCCGCACGCTCCACTCGAAATGCGCTCTATTTATCATAAACTTGTTGATTTGGTTCATATTAATGTAAGAACTCAATTTCAGAGCTATCATTCTTTCTGTCAAGGAAAATTTCTTCGGTTTATTTGTGTTGTGGTCTTCGAAGAATAGAAATTGAAAGTAGCAAAGAGTTTAAACGATTTAACGAGTTGGGGCATGTGAACTGTTTTTCTATGTACATTTATTTTAAGATACACGTTTCCATCACATCTCTCTCAAAACCAATCCATTTCCTGCTAAATCCAATCATCAAACTGTTTTTTTTAAATTGCGACGGTTCATTGAATTTCCGATGCGTAGAAAGAATCCTATGGATAGAACAAAAAGAAACATCGTTGGTCTAACTTGAAAATATTTGCCACCAATTTGATTCGGAACGGTTATATAATGCTAGTGATTAAATATGATTATATGATTGGTAGCAACCAATCTCCTTTCTCATGAACATAAAACAGAATGGATCGATTTTATTATTATTTTATTTAGACTCTTCATTGGATTGCTTGGAACGACAGAGGAAATTAAAAAAAAAAAAGTTCTATTATGTAAATACACAGGATGAATATTGTGATTTTCGTAATCGTTTACACCCAAACTGGTTCACTATTCTGGTTCAGAGCGAGAAAAAAAAATCGATTCGAATATTGAATAACATTTGCCTAGTTTAATTTATGTAACAATGCTCTTTTTGGCGGGATTTAAGTTTACTTTAAACTTTTGCTTCACTGGATAGAATGGTATGTGTAGTTGGCCGCCATTGAAGTTAACCGCCTCCCATGCAGCACAACTAAATGTCTTCTTTTCCATAATATCGACGAATACTTGACCGTTTAGATGATCCAATTCATGCTGTGCGATCCGTGCACTCCAACCCTTCAGATGCATTTCGATTGCATCACCCTTATCGTTGAAACCACTTAGCAGAATCTCTTCATATCGTTTTACATCACCGACATAACCACACACACTGGCACAACCTTCCGGGAACGTTTTAATATTGAAATTTTTCACCTTCAGTTCCGGATTGATAACAGTCTGATGGAGAAAGTGAAAACAAGAATGAAAATGATGAATGTGTCCTTTTCAAGTGGTTACACAACGCTATTTGATAAATCACTGATTTGATACTCACTGTCAATGGTAGAATGGACATTTGCCGCGTTTGGTATACATTCTTCGGATATTTTTCCAGCAATCGTTCTGATGCCTCCATGACAATCACACGAGATGGTACACCTATTTGTGGTGCAGCCAGTCCGACTAGGTTAAAGTCGCGCAACACTCTCTTCATCTGGGCAACAAGTTTTTGGATTTCATCGCTTTTTATCAATTCCACTGGCACTTCGGCAGCTTTATTCCGTAGAATTGGATCGCCTACAATAAAATATTCCGTATTTATCAATTAGAACTTTCTTTGAAATCATTTCGAATAAGTCAATTGCTCCGCTCCGTTGCGGCTTCATTCCATTCAACGATTCGTGAATGTTCTTCTTACCGATTTGCGTACAATGATTGTACGGTGGTTTGACTATTTCACCGTCAAATATTCCCCAAATTTTATTCCACCATTGTGAGACAGTCTTCGACCTCACTGAATTCTGATGAATTTGATGGTTTTCCAAGCATCTTCTCAACAATAGACCACTTTTCGTGGAATTAGTCTGCAATTTTCGTAAAATCATCGTTAAATTTTCTTAAAACACACTCTTAGCCTATTCGCCTGTTGTCTTACTATGAGAAAAAAATAAACAAAACCACATAACCTCACTTTCGTTTGACAACCAAAGAACATCACAATGAAATGACAACAAGCAACAACTTTATATTCATGAATCCTTTGATTCCAGTGGAAATATTTAATATTATCTTGTTTGTTCGTTTTTTTGTTTACAAAAAAGGAGGGATTTGAACAATGTGAATAAACTTATTGAACTTAACAAGAAAAAAAAAGAAAAAAAAGATAAAATCATTAATGATGCGCTATTTATCTCTTAAATTAAATCGCTGAAGAAATCGCCAGCATTTTCCCGTTTTGATGAAGGGAGATTGTGGTTTTTTTCTTTGGATTTGTTGTGCTTCTCATTATATTTGATGTCGTCGAGATCTTCAAAGTATTTTATATTCCAGAATTTGATTTCATTGTTATCGGCCGACGATGCGATATATTCACCACTCTGGTCTATGTCCATCGCATCAACCGCTAATGAATGTTGACCGACAACACCGAGATTACGGCCTGGAATACAATGCAATGCACGTAATACACCTTCTTCGCCCGCAACCACAGCAACTCGATCGGTGACCGGAATCATGTGCGACATTGGTGTTTTGGGCCCAGGGTACATTGTGTTATGGTAGCCAAATTCATTCCAGTTAAATGTGTAGAGTCGCCCTTTCGATGTGCCCACCACTAATTTTGAATCATTTCTGAATAGGCCCATGCACGTCAATTCCTCGTCATACGGTTCCGATTGAACGGATAATTTTCTACAATAAATTCCACGGAAAATGGTTAATCAAAGTATTATATAAATTCGATTCGAAAAACACAACTCGATTGTTGCTAAAAAAAACTCACCTCGAGCCAATGTTTATCGCCGTCAAATAGCCATCGCCACTTGTTGTGAGTAGCATCTTTTTTGCATCGTTTGTTAGGATCGATGTGATATAATCATCCACTTCTTTCAATGAGAAAATTGGATTGTTACCCTTTTCTCGAATGTCCCACACTTTGACCGTACCGTCGTCATCACCGGTGGCAAATAGATTTTCATCGAACACATTCATTTGGCTCACCGGCTGTTCGTGCGCCTGTTCATAGCAACGTATAAATTTGCCCGTTTCCATGTCTGTCATTAGAATGCTACGGTCTTTTGATGCGGAATATAGAACGTTGCCATCATGATTGAATTCAATGTCACGAATTGCCTTAACGTGTAATTCCAATGTGTTTGCCAGTACATTTCCATCGACGGAGTATTTGTAGATTACAGCGTCGCCGCTAATGGTGCCGGCCGCTAGAATATCTTCTGTCGGATGAAACGATAGATCAACCACATAATCGTCGATTGAAATCGTCGGCGGATGTGTACGCAGTGTTTTTGTGTTTGCCAGAATTTTTGCAATTACATCATCTCCTTCCTCAGCATCGGCACTTGTTGACGCCGCTGCATCCGCACTGTTTCGGTGTCTTTGTGTTTCATTACTACCTTGATTCGAATTTTTCATTGTGTCATCGTCGTCGTCGTCGTCATCGTCGTTGTCCGTTGTATCGACAATGAAATCACTTTCTTCGATTGAATCATTTTCCGAAAAACTGTCATCCGAATCGGTCGCTTCGGCAAGGACAACACCACCGATCTCCACCTCATCGCCTTCATCAGCAAAACCAATCAAAATATCGTCATTTGTCTCGTTTTGTTCTTCCAATTCATCCAAATCATCTGACTCCATCTCGTCAGGCTTATAGAATGTTTTCCTACGAAAATTCACAAATGAAATTCAATCAAAATTTTCAAACTAAACCCAATTTGCGCAGGATTCAAATATAAAAATATCCATTTTTATTCTACAATTGTCAAACCATTCAAATAAATCAACGCAATTAACTTACATTGTATGCACGCCTTGTGTTTATTTTGGGATTTTTTTCTCTCGTTCGTTTGTTGAACTCAGCGAACGTCGTTGAATTTTGTCGAACTTTTCGACTTTTCTTCGTGTGATTTTTGCTCGGATTCTAGTTAAAAACGTTTCGTTTTCACTACGAATATCTAGTCGAATTTGATTTTACCTAACCAATAACAATTAGGAACATTGAAACGTAAAGCAAGAAAAAAATATGTTTGACGCACGTTTCATTCAGTTTCGTCGAAATTGTACATATTTCAATTCTTGAGCTTCAATGTGTCAAACCGTACAGCAGCCCTTTGACATTCGAACATGCTGCTTTATTCATGTGTGCTGAACCGCTGAAAAACTGTGTACGACAAACAAATGTACTAAACTGAACCGGATTTTTGAAATTGTCTCGATTTTCCAATGTTAGTCTAAAATGTAATTTAAATCGTGAATTTCGTCAATAAAAATTGGGCTGAAGTAAACAAAGCAGAAAAAATATGTTTTCATCTTGATTTCATCATTTAAATGTGGAAAAAATTCATGTAAAAACCAGGAAGTTTCATCATACCGCAGCCCAAACAACCTGTCAAAGTCGAACGGTCAGGTTTTGCTTTGTGACCAACTTCAAATCTAACACAGCATATTTACATATTTTACGAGATAGTATTCATTCGCTAGCCCACAAATATGTACACACACTCACACACGCATACGCACACATCGACACGTACATACAAACTCGTCGATAGAAGAAGGTGAACACAGTAGAAACGGCACATGCATTGTTGTTGCTGTCGTTGTAGATATGTGTTGAATCTATTGTATGCGTTTGTTATTTGCTTCGTGTTCTCGAATCGAATGTTATTACACACATCTCTGTGTGTGAATTGTACTGTAATTGAGCGAGAGAGAAAAAAAGTGGCAAAGACCCAAGTACAAGGAAAAAGTTGAGAAAAGAAAAAAAATTGCAAGTTTCATTCGTCAAAGTTAATTGCAAATCGTTGTGTAGAAAATTTCATCATTTTTCTTCAGTGTGGCGAAATTTGTGGATTTATTCCTTCGGAAAAAATTCGTGTACATTGCATTCGAATGGGCGAATCAAGGGAAATCGTGTGAAAAATTTCGTCGTACGTGTGTGTGGAATCTATCGTTTTGTAGTTAGTTATATTGTGAGAGAATCTATCAATGAGCTTTCATCTTGTGCAAATGTAAACAAATTTGATGGAAAAAAAATTAGGCCATAAGCAGTAAATACATTTGTAACTAGCCAAATTCAAAGTCAAAATAATTTCGAGCATCCGAATAAACCGAATTGGATTGGTTTCATTTTTGTTTGTTTGCGAATAGAAAAACAAGTTTTAATTTTTCATCGTCAATTATCGCAACATAAAACCATACAACGATGACAATGAGCGATGACACACCAGTTTCAACGCTAGTCTTGCCAGTTCTTTTACGGCCGATTTTATCACAGGTAAAACATTTCAACCATCCAAGTAATCATGTTATTCGTTTGATATCGAATCGATATTACGTTAAATTTGCAAACGTTGCAGTTGGAACGACGAGATGTGGTTGCATCGCAAACACTTCGAGCTGCTTTGACAAAAGCAGAACAAGCACATCCGGGCCTATCATACGACATTGTGATGGGTATTCTGAAGAAAGGCGACCTTAATGTCAATTTAAACGAAAGCATTCTACGATTACAGGGTAATGCCACTGAAACTGACTGTAAGTATTTTTCACTACTTTGATAAGCGCACAACCATATGTTTACATATTCATAATCTGGTTTTGGTTTTCTTTTGGTTTTCAGTGGTTGAATATCGTTTGAATCGTTCCGAAGATGCCTTTCAAGAGTTGAACAAAAAATCGTCTTCGCTCAAGCGGATTTTGAGCCGGATTCCTGACGAAATCAGTGATCGCAAAACATTTTTGGAGACAATCAAGTATGTTGTCATTTTTGTTGTTGCTATTTCGCTGTTATGCAAGTCAATTTATTCAGTGAAATTGAATATTAATGGGTGTTTGATATTGATATTTTGGTGATTTTGCAGAGAGATAGCGAGTGCCATCAAAAAGTTGCTTGACGCGGTAAATGAAGTGGTTGGTTTCATACCGGGCACGTCTGGAAAGCAGGCGGTGGAACAACGAAAAAAAGAGTTTGTGAAATATTCAAAGAAATTCAGTACAACACTGAAGGAGTATTTCAAAGAGGGACAGTAAGTGACAGCAATAATTGATTAGCCATCGAGACATGAACGCATCAAATATGAAAATGTTTTTCTTTCTCTCTTCCATTGCAGAGCCAATGCCGTATTCGTCAGTGCACTGTACTTGATCCATCAAACAAATCAAATTATGATCACAGTAAAGAATAAATGCGAATAAGCAAACAATTTCATTGTTAACTTAGCCAATATTATTTCATAGTAAAAATGTTGTTGGTTTTTTCTTACTTTTGCGACAGCATCAAAGCGAATGGATACAACATTTTTCTTTTTGGTTCAGAATGCAATAAACATTAGCGAAATCCATAAAAAAACTCTTTTTAGACAATTAGGTTCCAATTTATATTTGTTGATTTCATTTTTAAGTATGCAGTACTAACCTTTTTTTAATGTTTTCTGAACGAAGTATCATTGTATGAATCGCTAGGCATGTAAGTTAAATAAAAATGTTGGACAATTCAAAGAATTTATCATGACAGCAACCCAAACGACGACGACGACGACGACGGCAGTGGCGATTATATTGGACGTTCGTTGGACAAGGTGCAACCAGCTAAGGATCACCGATCATTTTTGAATATTCAACATACGACAAAAGACAATTTTTCGTTATTCATCGGACATAGAAACAAAAATCGATGTACATAAAATGCAATTGCCCCGCACATTTTTTTTAGCGAGAAACTGCGACAAAGATTACAACTAGACTATCAAAACTAAATTATTCATAGAAACCTTATTAATTACTGGAATGAAAAATAAATTGCACGAACGATGTAGAATAAATGCGGTGTTTTCATTTGAATTTGTTGCATGGGTCTTGGAATGATTGATGAAGAAAGGAATCGGGCGTAGATATTATTTACCCAATTTCGCTCGGCGTCACAACTGAGACGCATTTATAGAGAATTTGAACAATGATTGAAATCGTTGAAGAAGTGAAGATGCACAGAATCTGGGAAATGTATTGATGGTGATATTCTTACAACAGAGAAATTCTTCAAAGCAAGTCCCAAAATATTCAATGCCATTCTTACAGACAGCACTTTCGAAAGATATTGAGTCTTGCTAGACTGTACAATGAATGAACAATGAAAAAGTCCGATTTGAAGTGAGTAAGAATTGATGCAAAGAGAAAAGAACATACGCAATTGTCGAATATATCTCAAACGATGATTACCTCAATGCAATGATCATGTCTATGTTATTTGTGTGTATTCACAGTCGCAGGGTTGGCATATTTACACAATTTTCAAGCTGCGCATGTAATCTACGTAGAAAACTGTAAATTACGTTGTTCTACATGTAAACAATTTCTTGGATGTAGAAAACTGCTAAACTACCAAAACTACATATAGAGTCAGTCGAAAAAAGTGTTCGGTCACCCCTTTTTTGCAATAACTTATATTTTCTCAGAAAACTATGACGTGTAGCTAAAAAAAATTCCAACTTTAATGAAAAAATCAAGAAATTTTACGAAAGAAAAAGGCTGAAGTTAATGAATTTCTTGGAAGCATATGATTTGTAAATCAAAAAAATATGGTAAAAAAGTGTTCGTTCATCGATATAAAAATCGACTTTCCAAAGCAAAGAAACGATTATTTGAATAATTTTTCGAGCTCTGATTCGAGCCGAAGTTACATGGCATATTCAGAATATATCAAGTTACAGTCCACAATTTGATTTGTTGAGCTATTATAGCTGATGACTGATTTTCATGTGGGTATATTAATCTCGTGAAAAAAGTAACGTTTTTCCATATAAAATTGTCAGTTTTTTCACTTCAGGATCAATGAAACCAAACTGTGATCACTACATAAAGTACAGATAAACCTTAGCACTAGCAATCTGTGCCATTTTTCATGAGGCGTCTCCACTCGCATTGAGTTTGTATTGTGAATGTTAAGGTGCATGCAACGCCCTTCAATGTAAAAAACAATACAAGTGGAGATGATACACGAGATTTATCTGTACTTTACATTCATTTTTAATATATCAGTAGTGTTAATCTTGTTCATTAGAATTACGAAATCCTGAGATAAATTCCAATTTTCTTTATATTATCTTAAATCCAATTTGTCTACGTTTTTTTTCTACGTTTTCTACAAAATTCATGTAGAGAACTCCAACATTTTCATGTAATTTACGTAAACGAAATGTAGATTACATGATTGAGTTTTCTACATGCCAACCCTGATTCACAGAGATCCTCACAATGTCACACATACAAACTTTTTTACTATGCAATACTAACATCGTCCGACATATCGCCGGTTTTCAAGAATGTGTATGTGTGCGGCTTGCACATCGCATATTAGTTTGTTCTCCAATTGTTTACATCAGTCAAAAATGTCGTCTTTGAAATAAGAATTTCAGGATTTTTTTTTCAATAAACCTTTCGAAAGAAATTGATATCCGCTCATTCCAGAGAAGCCATTTTTTCAAATGATCTAAAACTTGATAAAACTTTGTGTGGAATAACATTGTCAGCATTTCAAACATAATGCTAAATAACTTGCGGTCACTACAGTTTGAAGACTGGGTGCATAATAATTGGGTTGCTACTTTTTGTGATTGGTTGTCTTGAAATGATTCCAAGTGATAACATCAGATATGTAGGCATCATTGAGGTCATTTGTGGTGTTTGGTTGCTCATCGGAATTCGTCTAGTAAGTATTTTCAATAATAGGATTGAACCAAAAATCAGTTTGTTTTATGGTAATAGAAGTTTTTTTTATCATACTTGTGTTGAATCAGGAACGGAAATAGCCGAAGTCGTCTTTCTCTTCTTAGTGTGAAATTAAGTTTTATATCATAGAACACAATGAGAAAATGTAACATGAACATACATGAACGTCAGAAAAAATCACGAATTAGCGAATGTATTGCCATTTTGTTTCTGCTCACTGGTCGTGTGAACAGTTCAGATTCCCTTTGACAGTAAAAAAAATACGTCCAAATATTTCATTACTGAAAATTAGGACAATTTGTCTTTTAAAAAAAATTGAGCGTTTGTTGATTAAACAGCCTATAGTAAAATGAAAAGCACCAGAAGTTTGTTCTCAAGTCCTTGCAAAAAATGTACAGAGTAAAAATTGTCTTATTTTTAAGTTAATAATCTAATTTAAATTTGCATCTAATTAATCATTTGATCAATTTTTCTACAGAATGAACAATCGAAACTTGTCCCGTGCATGATCGTACGTTCACTATACGTACTTGGTGGCACACTTGGGCCGATTCTCAACAGCAATTCGTTCAATGATAAGGATTATCCCAACATTCCAGCAGAAGTAAATATTGCCGCTTGTCTCATTATCGCAGGTATTTATTTACTGAGAAATCATTGAATGGCAGAATTGAGAGTAATTAGTCTAATTAATTTTTCAGCAATCAATGCTTATATGTTAGCCGTAATATATTCATTCTACCAAGTGATGGGACAATATTTGCCGATGTGAATGAGAATCAATCGACTCAATGAAACTTTGTCAAGATATTATTTTTGATCACAATCTTCTTGTTATGAACTAAGCTCAATTATGTACATTAAAATAAATGTTTTTTGAATACAAAGCCATTGTTTTTTTCTCTTCTTTTTTTTCAACATAGAGTACGTAAAATGTTCATCATATTTTTACTTCTTATTCTTCATAGGTACATATTTTTATCTTTCATTCCCTCTATGATAGTTCGATCATAATATGTATAATTATTATAGTTTACACGACCGATGATCATTTTGCATGAAATGATACAGCAAAATAAATCAATGTAGATGAAGATAAATCAAACCTTTGCAAATGATTCACATAGATCAGCATTGATGGTGATCTCCCTGTCATTGGTTATATTCACGGGCAACTCTATACGCTCATATATGTTTGGATATACATAGACTTAATGCCAATTTGAATATAAATGTATTCATAAAATTACGCAGACCACTTGTGGCTCGTCCACTGTAGCACCGGTTTATTTTTTTCTCGCAGTGCTTCTCAGTACAACTTTTGTTGCGGAATGGTGAACATTGATTGTTAGACATCCGCATAAACAACGAATTTCTTTCTCTTCATTCAGTGCACAATTCAAACATTGTAAAAACTAAGACTGGCTATGGAACTATTGCTTAATGTTATATAGATGTCGATCGAACGTTTGTTTACAAAATCAGAGTTGTGATGAAATCAAGATAAAAATTTGAAAAAAATTTAAACTATAAGCAAAATACATGTTTTCCACTCAAAGATACAAGAAAAAACAGTTAAAAATACGGGTTCAAAGTAAAAAAAAATTGCCGAATTAATCCGTTGCAAGACGAAACAAGTGACGCAATATCTTTGTCTTAATCTCGTTCCGTTGTACTGCTGAATATACCAGTGTGAATGTATTGTGGTTTTGTGTGAATGTATTGAATACCTTTTAAAACTGAGCTAGGAAGTGAGTATAACGTATGCAAACATGGGAGAATACAATAACAATTCAATTTTGGAAATGTTGGAGATATTCCGTTGGAGTCTTTATAATGCGAAAAAAGAGGATGCAAAAGAAAAACAGCAAACGTTATTGGAGGAGGCATGTCAAAAACCGATTTACGAGCCATTCGTCGAAGAGTATTTGATTGCTGGCTGTGATATGACCGTGGTACATGCCATTCATTGGTTTCATAGTTAGATATATTTAATAATCCAAATAGTTTTATATCATAAAAACAAGCATTTGATCTGGATATTTTCTTCCAGTTGAACGATGACATAAAGGTCAAAGTGATGGGATTTGTGGGAGACGTTGATTTGCCGTCGATTCGCAAAAGAGATGAAAAATATTGGGATTTAAATCGTTTGCACATATGTTTGGCATATGGAAATGAAGAACTATTTATAAAAGGTTTGGATTTAATTGCCGAAAAAAATCCAGTCAAACTGGCGCAGATATTAACAAAAAGTGACGACTTGTTTTGTGCATCTGCTTTGAATAATTTCTCATTGGCAATTGATAAACTGGTTGAATGTGATGCGGATGTTAATGAAGTGGCACTTTTATGTGCTTGTAGGTGTGCTGCTCACAAATCATTGGAAACGCTGTTGAAATACTACAATCCAGGTGAAAATATAACACCACTGCTAAAAGAGCTATCAAATGCATGGGAAAATCAAAAAGACGCAAATGCTGAAGATTTTGACAAGTGCTACGAATTATTGCTGAAAAAAAGTAGCACCGATGTCAATTATGTGGATAAAACACGGCGTTCTGTCATGTACTACGTTCGCAATCAGTCGGATAAAGTGACTGAATGTTTAAAATTGGGCGCCTATATTGGAAATCAAAATGTTGATCTACGACCGGACGTTGCATTTATAACTCCGAAAACACTTCAAAAACATTTCGATAATTGCATTCAAATAATATCGCGAGACGATACAGTCGTTGACAAACGGATGGAATACATTGAATTTGACTTCAAAAATTTGATTCCATCGGAAAATCGTAAAGACACTGCATCAAACGAAATGGGTGCCATTGAATTTATGTCAAACTCAGATGATCATCGCCATTTGCTGTCTCATCCGTTGATTTGGAGTTTTATATCGTTGAAATGGGACCAATTGGCACTGGTCTATTATATGGACTTTTATTTGTATTTACTATTTGCCCTTTTGAATATGGGATGCATTCTAATGTCCTTCGAAAAATCGTCGAATTATATCAAAGTGCCATTCACCATTATAACGGCCATTTTAACCATCTATGTTATTTTGCGTTGCGTTTTGCATTTAACGTTTTGTTCATCGAAGCACCTACGCAGTTGGACCAATTTTTTGCAATGCCTTCATTCGTCGTTGATCATCATTTTCGTGCTGTTGGTTCTTGTTGGCGTTTTTTCCGAAATAAATCGTACCGTTGCGGCAATCAGTGTTTTACTCATAGCTTTGAAGCTGTTCATTCTAGCCGGTTCAATGTTTTGGACATTTTCCAAATTTTATATCATGTTCTTGAATGTTGCATGGAGCTCGATTAAGAGTTTACAATTGTGTATCATTTTCATACCATCATTTTTGATGTCATACTATTTGTTGATACGAGATCCTCCGCTATCGGAGAAGGAACAACATGCTAAGTCACTGGACGAATTTAAAACGGAATTTTTTGATTATCTCTATGAAGTGGTGCATCCGGGCTCGAATAAAGTTGATCCGACCACACTGGACGAATTCAAAAATAAATTCTTCGTTTTGCTACCGAAGCTACTGGAAGAAAATGGCCAAGGTGAAAACGAGGAAAAAACGCAAAATGATTTTGTTCAAACCATTTCATCGGTTGTAAAAACCATTATGACGTGGCATAAAAAATGGAGTGAAGAAATTACCAGTTTTGACCTGAATGCTCTTGGGTTAATCGTCGTGCTTATTACGCTTTTGTCGATCATATTCATGAACCTTATGAATGGTCTGGCCGTGAATGATGCAAAGAGGATCCAATCCGAAGCTGAATTAACAAGCTTAGTGCAGAGATGCCGACTATTGGCTCGGTACGAAGAAGCGCTATCTGATCGCCGGCATTGGTTTCGGTAAGTTGAGTGTTTGGATTGAAAATTACCCGAATGGATTTTCGTTGAATACATTTTCTATTTAATATTGCGCGAAACTCATGTCCCGTTTTCTCCATTTTCGTTCTTTTTTTTTCTTTCAGCCAAAAATGGCAGGGTACCTTCATCATGGAGCTGTTTGAATACTTCACCCAATTTGAATCGCTTGAATACATGCGAACTATTTATGATCGCAAAATTTATGTCGGCCTTAAAAATGAGATCATTCACTTTATAGACGCTGAAAAGATGAACCAGACTTCTGACAACAACCAAAAATTGACTGAATATAAAACAATGAACGCGGATGAAGGGAAATTGGCAATGGAAATGCTGTACAACGCAAAGAACAAATCCAAATTGCGAATGTTTTCCAAAGCAAATGAAATCGAGATCGAACTGGAAGAGTCACATTCCTACGGAACAAATCGTCTATGGAAAACGGTGATTAGCAGTTTCCCCTTTTTCGATGAGCGTGAGAAGATGAACCCACAAATTGTACAACTTGCGCGCCAAATCATCGAAACCCGAGAAGTTGATAAGAAAGGCAAAGAAGAGCAGAGTCATTATAAAGAACAAATCGCAAAACTGCAAACCAATATGGAGGTATTGTTGCAGAAAATTGATAAATTGGACACATTTGACAATGTGAATAGCCAAATTTTGCAGAAATTAACCGACATTGAAAGTAAAATTAGAGTTAGTGTCGATTGATGGCTTTTAGATTGATGTGTGGGAAATTGTATGATAAACTTCAGGAGAAAATTCAAATAAACCGATTATAATCGTTCAAAAAAGCATTTATTCATCTCTTAGTTACACTTTATTAAAGTATATTTGATCTTCTATGAATTGAGCGGTTGTCTGTGAATCAGAGGCTCCAACATTATTGTCAGTTATCCACTTGGCATTCATTTCGTTCCACTTTTCATATGGTTCATTCAGGACAATGTACCGATCTGAAACTCCTTCGCCGAGCAGTTTGGAGAAAGTTTTCACCAGATCATCGAATGTTGGACGTGACCCGGGAATCAATCGCCAACACGAGAGCATGACATCGTATCTGAAGAAGGATTTATAGGAAAAATTAAGAAAAAATGAAATAATTGACTCAGGATTTTACACCAGAACCACTTTCTTACATAGTTTGTGTCGTATAGGCTGGCTTTTCCAATCTGTATCCGTCTACGATTTGCTGGAGTAAAATTTTGCTTCCAATGTTAGAATATGGGATCTGAGCAAGGGAAAATAGCTCCCACATGACGATTCCGAATGACCAAACGTCCGAATATGTGCTAAACACTGCGTTTCTCATCGATTCAACCGCTAACCACTTGTATGATAGGTGTCCCTTTTGTAACGAATAAAAACCGTACAGAAACAATTGTATTGAAAATTCGATATCTAAATTTGTTCGGCATTCCTACTTCTTTTTTTCTGAGATGCACATCCGTTTTGAATAAAGATTGTGCTAATCCAAAGTCACCGATTTTCACAACATTATCCTCACATAAGTAAATACTTCGAGCTGCTAAATCACCGTGCACCACTTTGTGAGAAGCTAAATACTGCATGCCGTTCGCTATTTGAAACGACCAGTGAAGCAAATCCGATGTAGTCATAACCAAAGTTTCTATATCTGCACAGAAAAAAGAATGAATTGAATACGCTGACACTTTCATCATTTACTAGTACGCACCATCGTTCGTAAGTTCATTGTTCGTGATTGATGCGTCCACATGGCTATCGTACACAAAAGCGAGATTAACAGCACCATTTTGACCTGTCTCTGTTTCACTGTAAATTACATTGAAGTTCAAAGGACTTATTTATTCAAATTTTTTGAAAAACCGCAACGTTAATAATAGAAGAAGTACCTATGCTGATACGAATTTCCCTTATCTGTTAGGTTCTCTGACCTCACACCAATTTTAGGATCGATATCACCATTAGCCGGATCGATTTGATCTATGAAATTCGTGCGATGTTTCTTAATGTAGTTTCTAAGACTACCATATTTGCAATACTCAGTGATGACCTGTAATTCGCCTGTTTTGAACAAAAATGTGTATGTTCCTATTTCTTTTCAAAATTTTGCATATTTTTGTTATTTTTCAATGGGCTTTATTTCAAAATTTTCTACTCTCATAATGATACAAATGAACACTTACGTTTTTTAATATTATCCGTCACGATACCAAGCAAATTAACCAAATTCAGATGACGTCCCGTCTGCATCATTACTTTTAGTTCAGATCCAAGTGCTTTTAATTTCTATTCAAATTGGTCAAAATTAACAGAATAATATTGTATTAAGGAAAAGGTAGAAAAAGTGCCAAATCGAAACCAACCTCATCGTCACATTCGTAGAGCCGAACTCCGTTATTATTCATTCCTTTGACCATTTTGACGCTGACATCTGTTTTACTTTCATCGGGTACAATGCCTAGTGCATGTCCTTTGAACATAAACCCAAAAGTACCCACACCGATCCGTGAGCCGAGCTTTAATTGGTTTTCTGGAAATTGGTATTTTTCCAAATAAAGCGGCAAATCTGGCGTAGTGCTATTTCGTTCAAGTTCAGCAGCTCTTTTATGACGTAGGAATTGTTTGTTGTGGCAGCGTAGGTATAAGCAAAACAGCATAATACACAGGATCGCAATCACTGATATCGTTAAAATGGTCAAAAGTATTCTACTCTGGGTTCCTTTAGAAAAATAAAAGTTGAAATGGTGGAATCTAACAAAAAATAATGCTCAAAAATTAATAATTTTACCTTGTTCACTGTATTTAGTCAGAATATTGACAACTTCTGTTCTGCCTGAACGAATTTTCATAAAAATAAATGATTATTGTCGCATTTCGTTTAAAATCACCAAATCAACATACGTTGCGAAGTCCCAAGTATGTTGCATACGGTAACACAGAGGCTGTTGCGTTTACGTTAGTGTATTACAAACACACTCACATTGGTGTAATACGTTAGTCGGTATACACAACTCACGCAAACAAAGATTTTAGGGACTTCTGGGAAATCATATTTACCTCCTTTCCGAGCAATTTCAAGTGGTGTTAAATTTTTCCAACCTCTAATGTTGGCATCGGCGCCATTTTCAAGGAGAATCTCCACAACTTTCACATGATTTCCCTCAGCAGCAATGTAAAGTGGTGTTGACCCATCAGCCTTCGTTTGAGCGTCAATATTTGCATGTTTTTTTATTAGGAATTTTGCTATTTCCACGTTTCCTATTCATTCAAATGTCGGCATAATTCAATTAAGCTATTTAAAATAAAGTTTATCGAAACTGTCTAATGATACAACCTTTCAATGCGGCCATATGAAGCGGTGTTTTCCCATCCTCGTCTGCTACATTCACATTTATTCCACCTTTTACTAGACTTTCAACGACTTTATAGTAACCTAGAAACAATGTTATTCAAATCAATTGCAAGCCAATGTGAAAAGAACTCTTTTACGTGGAAAAAGAAAGATTGAAAACCTTTTCGCGATGCTAAATGAAGAGGTGTTTTTCCCCCTTTGTCAGTGACGTTAGTATTCACGCCTTTGGTCATCAACATTTCAGCAATTTTCTCTTGATCTTGTTTAATTAAAATAGTAACATGTTCAATTTAATAAATCAAGTATGAAATAGTTATTTAGTAAAACTATGGTTTTGTGGTTTTCAATGGGATCATGAATATTACCTCGATTTATGGCCACAATCAGAACAGACAATAAGTACTTTCCATTTATATTTGGATCGGCACCATTTTCAAGAAGTATTTTGGCAACTTTTTCTTTTCCATTTCGAGTGGCAATATACAGCGGCGTCTGTCCCAGCGAATTGGTTGCATTCACATGGGCTCCCAATTTAAGTAGAGATTCAACATTTTGTTCTTGCGCTTCAAGGATCAATTGGTGTTTAACTCTTGTTACTAAATCCATATTTTAAATGGTTCAATGTTTCACTTACCATTACTGGCAGCTACATGAAGAGGCGTCCACCCATTGCAACCGGATGAATTGACCTCAGCTCCTTTTTTAACAAGAAACTCAAGGACATTTACATCGCCTGAATGAAAAAAAAAATCATTTTATGAGTGTAAAGAAGAGAAATTTTCTTAAAAAATCCAAATTTAATCCAAACCAAGTCCAGCAGTTATATATAGTGGTGTACAGCCATCATTGCCCTTAACATTAACGTCAGCGCCCTTGTTTACCAATAATTTGATGGCTTTTGCACGAGCTTTAACAGTAGCTATTAAAAGTGGTGTATTGCCAAATTTGTTTCTCAAATTAACATCAGCACCAGCGGTAATAAGATCTTCGATTATTTCCTCGTTCCCGAAAAAACCAGCATTATGCAGTGGTGATCGTTCTTCAAACATGAGTTGAGATTAAGTTTATGGTTTAAATCCATAATTTAAATGCAATATCATCTTATTTACCGAAATTGTCTTTAGCGTTAACGTCAAGAGTATTATTTAGCAATATCTCCACTGTTCTTTTGTTATCTAAGTTGAAAGATTTTTGAACGAAAAACATTTTTTTACATTTTCAATTGCTAATATTATAAACATTCAAAGTTACCGCCTTCTACCCCATAATGAAGTGGGAGCCTTCCGTCGTTGTCTTTGTGATTTGCATCTACCCCTTTCGCAATCAGCACTTCGGTTGCTTTATCACGACCTGAAAAGTATTTTAAAAATTATATTCGAGTAAAAATTTGTTTAAATTGCAGCATAATAAAACGAAACTAAGAGTCTAGCACATTACCATTCCAGGCTGACCAATGCAGGGGCGTTCGTCCCCAATCGTCTGTCGCATTTACATTTGCACCTTTGCTTACAAGATATTCGATGAGATTCACATGTCCATATTTAGCCGCAAAATGGATAGGCGCTAAACCTTTCTTGTCTGTTGCATTAACATTGGCACTGTTATTGACCAATAGTTCGGTGATATTTAAGTTTCCTAAAATAACTGGCATTATTTTCCAACAAAGATGAATGACACATTCATAAAATACCATTGAAGGCTGCGAAATCTAACGCGGTTGATCCATTTCTATTTTGAACATCAACAACGGCACCTTTTTCCAATAAAAGTAACACCACCTCCGTATTGCCTGAAAAGATTCCAAGCAATTACAGGGCCAACATTTACTGATGAATTGGTGATTTACCATTCAATGCAGCCAGATGAAGAGGTGTTGATCCATTGAGATCCTTCATATTAATCGATGCTTCATCTTTGATCATTACCTCCATGAGATGTTGGGTACCTTACAACGGAACACATAATTTTGCAAAAAAAAAACTCTCCATATTCAATATATCTGTACATACCATTGACTGCGGCTAAATGAATCGGCATATAGCCTAAGCTATTAGCAATTTCAGTGTTAGCTCCACTTTCGATAAGCAAATTGGCAATCTTCTCATAACCTATAAAAATCATAGTTACATTTCATCAATTCACTCCTCGCTGTATATTTGAAGTATTTCCAACCATTTCGAGTAGAAGCATGGAGTGGTGAATTTTCATTGAAGTCTGGAACATCTATTTCAGCACCCATTTGTAATAACGATTCGACAACATCCTGAAAACCTAAATACATATGATTGGGAGAATTTTTGAATCGATTTTTAAACCTCTTTTAAAACTAATAATTGTAAAATTACCATTTTCAACCGCTAAAAGAAGCGGCGTTTTTAACAAGTTATTTCTGCGATTGATAGAAGAGCCTTTTTTGATTAACATCCCAACCAATTTTTTGTGACCTATATAGGAAAATGACCAAAGGCTAGATCATTATCTCCAACTAAACTAATTAAAGAAAACCGTTTTCCAACCTTTTGCCGAAGCTATATGCAGGGCCGTATCACCGTCTTGGTTTTCATATTGTACATTGGCGCCTTTCTTGAGCAGCTGTTGGATGATCTTTTGATGACCTAAATTCGATATTGAATCATTGTTTTCATTGTCTTTTAGATGAACTTCACTATGAATTACCGTATTTTGAAGCCAAATGCAGTGGAGTCCACCCAAGATCATTCACAGCATTTACATTAGCTCCTCTCAAGACCAGCAAAGCTACCACCTTTTCATGGCCTTTGGATGATCCTAAATGGAGAGGTGTGTTTCCAACGTTATCTGTGACATCGACCCGAGCACCGCATTGCATCAGAAACTCGACAATTTTTTCATGGCCTTTGCGAAATTAAACTTTTTGTTATTTATTGATTAGAATGACAAACAAACGGACCGACACTTCTACAATTTAGCATTATAGCTCAGAAAAGAGTGGAATGGTTTACCATTTTTGGAGGCTGAATGAAATGGTGTTTCTCCAACAGAATTCGAAGCGTTAACATCAGCATCTCGTACACTCACCAAAAATTCAACCACATCATCACGGCCTAAAAGTGTATATCATTCAAAATAATTATCGTTATCTACTACGATCATGTGTAATTAGTCTAAAAACCATTTTTTGAAGCCAAATGCAGAGGAGTATCATCAAAATTATCAGTCACATCAACTTCCGCGCCATTTTTAACCAAAAATTTAACGATTTCTAAATAACCTGATAACGTTTAAGAAAACATTAAATAAACATTACATCCGATACATTTTTTCGAGTCGCATTGTAGATTGACAATTTTACCAACCGTTCTCTGCAGCTAAATGAAGTGCCGTTTTTCCGGAATTATCTTTTGCATTTACATTTTCACATTTCGATATTAGCTCTTGAATCTCTTCAATGTCACCTAATCAAATGGAATGGAATTTGTTTCAAGGACAATTTTCTTAAACTTTTATTCCAATTTTTCAATTACCACTGGAGGCAGCTTCGTGAAGTGTGACTTTTATATCGATTCTTAATGTTAAAAAAAAACAAAAACAAAATCAATAAAACCACGAATAACTTCACATTCGATTAAATTACCGATCATCAAGTTGAGGTACTGAAATAAATTATTTAATCGTTTTGAAAATAGTCGACTTAAAATCTCATTCGAACCGATAAACTTTGAAATACCTGGTAGACAGTCAACTAAAATAAAATATAAACACAGAACTAATACGGAAGAAAATTTCATTTTTCTGAATAATACGCGCACACGAAGCTAGGTAAAGGCACTATCACTAAAGTAAACATTAAAATCTTTCAATTTTATAATTCACTTCCATAATAATAATTATCTTAGTTGTCTAAAATGTGACTTTATCAATACTTTGAAATACGCCGCAACAAAATTATTCCAAGAAATCCCCAAGCGCTTGGAATGAAGGTCAAACTAACTTTACCAAAAAATGCGCTTTCGTTGTCATGTATAAAGCAAACGATTACACACAACAAAACATTCTGACTCGAGACGTTTCAAATCAACAACTAAATAGTCAAACCATAGTCGGCGAAATTCCTAGTTGTGTTTGGTTTCGATTCGATCACTTTGATTCATAAGTTAAGTCGTCATTTGAACGAATGTATGTTCTCTCTCATTTTGCTCATCTCACGCTGTACTACGTCACCATAGCATCAGTGTGGTAAACCTCCGCCAATGTTTTCAAAGTCAGTATCATGCATATTGATCGTTTCATTCATGAATCAGCAAAAAAATGCTGATTTATCCACAAATCGTTCCGCATCACATTGATCTCTCGCCAGTGGCTACACACATATCAATTTATTGCTATTATTGTACTAAACCGGTTCGTCGTTTCACAGCATATATCGGCATATATCGAGACAAAGCCATCGAAATTTATACATTCAAAGATTGGGAAAGGTTCACTTGGATGTTTTTTTAAATTGATTCAATCTTTGGAAAGTTGAAAGTTTGTTTGTAAACAGAAGCTCATTGTTGAGAAATAGAAAAAAGGCCTTTAATGTACATATTTTCCCATTAATCACTAGTATCTTCCTACCTCTATTACCTTCGTGTTTACTATTTACATACACAGCCGTAGTCTTTTTCTATACATTGCTGAAGATGATGTAAATTGACGGATTAGCGTGAATTAGGCTAAATTGATTGACAATTGTTATATGCTTTTTATCAAAAACACCACTTCATTGATTTGTTAGCACAAATTAGCAAGTGATATTGATTATTTATTCTGAATGATATCTATTTCGTGGAGAAGCAGATTGTTCAGATACCCGAGTTATGCAAACATTCTCTCTATTCAATAGATATCACATAAATAGAAGAATGCATGAAACATTTGCAATTCCACAAAATAAGTTTTCATGAAGTTCGTTTTTTCTGCAGAAAATCATCGATTTTCATACAATAATACACCATGTAGCCACGATGTGTTTTATTTCAAAGTAGAATGTCAATTTGAATTTCAAAATCATTCTTCAAACTTATTTTCATCTTCATTAAATGATGCTAATGAAGGTAAGTAATAAATATAATTTAATTTAATGTTTCATAATCCGGCGCTGCACAAGGCAATTCTTCATTTTATGTTGAGCCTTGCACCTTTGCACATGTTGGCACTTAGCTCTATTCGGGTTAGATTTTCTGCAGTAAATACAATTGATATAATTTACTGTGTACCTTAATTGGAAGATGTATTGCCCTACACATTGCACACTTACATCGTCACCATAGATCCAATCAGATCCGGTATGAAAAACGCTGTTATGGAGACATAACCACCTATCCATATTAAAAAAATTATATCCATACACGTTGTAGAATGATCTGCATGCTTCTCCGGACATAGGGTCCACGTCTTTAGTTCGCAGACCGGCATCCAAATCATTACCATCACCACAACTGTAGCAACTGATGATCCATCTCTGAGTGATGATCTTAACAAGATACTGTTGGAAATAAAACAATGTCAATGCCGACGTCATCAGATAGAACCATTGGTTTAATTTTCAATTGTATTATTCTTAAGAAGACGAATTATTATAGTAGAAAATAAGTTTTTTTGTCTACAGGTAAATTCCACTCAGAATTCGCACCCAGACGATAAATCGCTTAATAGATGGAGATGCCAGGCGTATTCATAAATAAAATTAAGGTTGGAGACTCCATTTACTACATTCACCAAGTGAAATATCTTCTGGGTAACGATATCAGGCGGAATTTTTTCTGTATTAAGAGTAAAAGAATCAATTGTGGTTTGTTGCAGTGTATAAAAGATATTCTGAACTTTTATTTAGAATTAAAATTCTTCATAAATCTCAGAACTAAAATTTCAGCTTAATTTAAATAAAAAAGGAAATTTGAAGTACTTACGTAGCATGCGACCAAAACCGAAGCAATTAATAACCTCCCGAAAAATTCATTTTTTCACACAGAAAGAAGAATAATATTATTAGAAAAAAATAACAGAATTATTACTTCCAAGCGATTTGTCTTTGAATCGATTTGAGATCGCTGAATACACTGAATTTGTACCATTTATCTGAGGTCCTTTTATTCGATTCAATCGTCACGAGTCTTCACATTTTCTTCAATTTGCATGGAAATTCTTCGCAATACATAGACTTTCGCTTCAGGTTTACATACACACAACGCCTTTTACATTTCTTTAAATGAAATAAAATATTTTGGATGAACTATTGTCGTTGTAGTAGAGCATTCAGTTAACCTTCCATCGTTTATCCATTTTTTCCATTAATCTTTCGATTTTTCATGAAAGACTTTGTTAGTCTAAATATGTACCACTCATGAAGAGAATAAATTGACTCTAAGGTAAGTATGCAAAAATGTCGTCGCTATTAATGTAAAGAATACGGTAAAAAATCGGTACTAAACGTCAACCCATATATCGATGAAGTGCTCAAAACAAATTGTATGACGGCATTTATCGATTTGACGCAATCATATATGGTTAAATTATTCATTTATTTCTGAATTTTAAGGAATTTAGTGAATTCGAAATAAGCAAAACCATCCTTAAGCAAGCAAAAGGAGTTCTCTTTTACTAAATGGAATGTATATCGACGTATTTCTTTCAAGAACAGTATGCCAATGAAATATTTTAGTAAAATTCGTAGCACCTGCTGTAGCAAATGATGTTATTCAATATCAGTAATAGCTTTTTGTTGCTAACCTGTAAATCATTTCAATCGCCTGCAATGTTCTCACTTTCAGAATTTGCTCAAATATTTCACTCAACATGTGATGAAATGATCGACTTTAACTCAAAAACAAAACCCTCAAATTGCCAACAAAATTCAACGGGCATTAAAATCAAACAAATTTCATCTTGTGCAAATGTAAACAAATGAAGAACAAAAAATTCAATCAATAGTTGACCTATTTCACAAGCGCGTAGAATAAGATCAAAACAAATGCTAGTAAACACTTTAAAAACAATAAAAAGATAAATTCACACCTTTTTTTATTTATTATTCGCTTTTTCACACTGATAGCAATCTTGTTGTAAGTCGATTATACCAGCTCTATTTTAGCAAATTGCGTGTACTGTTTACAGTTGATAACGGATGAACGACCGACTGTTTTTTCCGTTGTACACCATTCTTGTATTACGCCACGTTTTGCGATGGTGCTGACTCGGTCAAAGGAGCTATCAGCCAAACTTCTGCAGAATGACGTTATAGCTTGGTATCCAAAATCTGTTTTATTACATCCACAATGTATATCAATTTGTCTGAGCCGAATCAGTCTGAGTAAATTCAGTGGTTGATTTGAATCATAGTACAATAAACTCACGCGAATGAACGAATTTCAGGGTCACGACAGATTAAACGTAATTCGATTGCATTCTTATCGCTTATTTCGACTGCAATTTTTTTCATTTATTACCTGTAGTCTTTGGCTCGGCGAGAAATTAGCAAAAAAAAATCTCATTTTATTACGTTTAAACCTATATAAAAACGCTGCATGAGATGCCCAAGATTCAGAATTTGCATTTCAACTCGTACGTTAAGTGTAACAAAATGACTAAAATTGCGGTTTTTGCTTTTATTATTTCATTTTTTTTGTGCCGTTTGACCGAAAGTGCACCAGCTGGAGACAACGCCGAGGTTTGTTCAATATTTTGCTTCAATTTAAAGGAATAGCCACATTTCATAGAAAATGCTTTCAATTAGTTGGAGATTTACACACGAGAATTGGAATTGGGACATTTATTTTCGGTGGAAGAGCTAATCTCTCCCAATGGAGGTGTCATTATTGTTGTCGTTGAAGAACAATACTATAAATACGCAGAAACATTTGGTGAGATTTTAGAATAAGTTTCATATTTGTCTGTATCATCTTTCAAATTTTTCTCATTTTCCCTCTTTGGTCGTACTAATTCTTACCGTGTTACAACTATCTCCTATGTCTCCAAACAGTGAAAGAAAACCTAGTCAGCAAAAGTGTCAGTGTGTTTTTAACGTCCACATCAGAGTATGTTCAAACGATACAAGAAGAAATGACGTCTCCCAATGGAGAATATTACTACTACTTCAAACAAGAGACAGTTAGAAAAGAAAAAATTTGGGTGATGTATTTTGGACAGTAGGACGAAAAATTGTTCATCGCCGTATGTTACACGCAAATAATATATGAGTTTCCATGGTGGAATGAAATAATCGATAAAATGTGATGAATTATCAGGTAGAACGGAGAATATCATAAGCAATCCCCATAAGAATAAGGTCAATTCTATATTATTTAGGATAACCAATCATTTGTAATGCACTCAAAATATGTCGATGGTTAGTAATTACAGAGTTTGAATAAATAAACAGAAAAAGGCTATCAAAACTGAAATGCTATTTTGAAATACTATGTGTAATTCGAATATATTGTTGTTTGTACTTATGAGTCGCAGCGAATCTTCTTTCTTGTTGTCAGCAAAAATGATACGTAAGTTGGAACGAACGAAAAAGAAAGGAATAGCACACAAAATGTAAACAAACGGGCCGATTATTCATTGAGTGACGTGCCCATCGTCAATGGTCAAGCCGATAAGCACGTTTCATATAGTTGCAATCAACGGATTGACGAGATCAAGTCGACAACGAAACGAATGGGGCACGGACTAGCGTATAGTGCGGTTGCGGAACGCAGACCACATACGAACCGAAATGTTGCATTATTATCAAGTTGTGTGTGATTCACATGTCCATTTAAGAGTCGACTTGATTAAACAACGGAATAGTTTATCAAAGGCTAGCTATCGACAGAGTTAGAGAGATTGAATGAGCGTTGTGCGTACAATAGAAGCAATAGAATGCTTGTGATTTTAAGTGTTTTATTATACACGACGATTTGTTGTGCGAATCAACCGTCAATTGTGTCGCGAATCGATTCAAATGAACTTTCATTCGAGAATCCCATACAAACCGACGAAGAATTAATTTATCCCACAATAGATCCGAATATTGCCGAAGATGCTAACCTAACTACGGTATTTGTTTTTCTTGAATGAATTCATGTGAAGTTATGCGTTCAAGTTCAAGGTTCCATTTTTAATTGTTATTCATTCAATCATTAATTTTAATTAGCCGCAATTAATTACCAAGTATGGTTACAAGGCCGAAGTGCACTATGTTACGACTGAAGACGGCTACATATTACAATTGCATCGAATTTCTGGTGGGAACAAATATCCAACGAAAAAAGGGAAAAAAGTTTGCTTTTTACAGCATGGATTGTTTGACTCATCAGCGACATGGTAGCGTATTATTAATGATGAAAAAAATTATTTCTTCTTTAATTTGTTGCTTTTTTTGTTTTGATATCAGGGTTCTTTCGGGACCAGGTCATGGTTTAGGTTTGTAAAATTCATTTTTGATCAACAAGTATTTTTTTAGTTTTTTTTCGCCTCTAAATTACTCCAATCAGTCGATCCGGATTGGAGTAATTTGGAAGTGTTTTTGTCTTTTTGGTTTTAATTTGACCTTTTTTTATACAAGTTTCAATAAAAATCTACTCGAATTCTCTTCCAAAGGTTACATATTGGCCGATGAAAACTATGACATCTGGTTGGGAAATAATAGGTTGGGAAGTAATATAATTAAGGAATTATAATTTGGTAATTAATTCCTTCTTATTCTGGTTATCAAATAATAGAGGCAATAGGTATTCATGCAATCACACAACATTAAACCCGTTTGGATCATCAAAAGATCGAAAACATTTTTGGTCATTTTCATGGCATGAAATTGGCGCATACGACCTACCAGCAATGATTGACTATGTTCTCGCCCAAACGAATCAAACGAAGCTACAAATAATTGCGCATTCACAAGGATCGACGGCATTTTTTGTTATGGCCTCGCAACGACCAGAGTACAACGATAAAATAGAAATGATGCATGCACTAGCACCCATTGCTTTTTTATCGCACGTTATCAGTCCGCCGATTCGCATTATTGCTCCGTTTGTATCTGCGGTTGAGGTTCGTATTCAAGTTGTATTTATACTCTCACTTGTTTTTGTTTTTTTCTCAAAATTCTGAATATAAATAATCACATTTGAATTTATTATTATTACGATATTTTCGCTTTGAAATATCATGCTGTAATAATATTACAGTTAAGTCGGATATGATTAGCGTTGATCCAAAGTGTTGTTTCATGTTTCCAGACAATAAACTCACTTATTGGCTTAAATTATATAACGCCCAGCAATGAATACTTAACGTTAGCCGGAAGAATAATGTGCCGAGATAAGGCGCCCACACAGATAATATGCTCGAATCTGCTATTTTTGACAATGGGCTATACATCGGATCAATTGAATATGGTAAGAACAATAGGCTAATTATCGATCCGTTTGCTCTAATTACCAACTAATTATTTGCATAAATGATCTCAACTGCACTTTCCGTATAGACTCTATTACCGGTAATTCTCGGTCATACACCAGCTGGAGCTGCAACGGATCAGTTGTTACACTATGGACAAGAAGTTAATTCGGGCCACTTTCGACAGTACGATCACGGTCGTGTTGGCAATTTAATTCGTTACAAACGCATTTCACCTCCCGATTACAATTTAAAGAATGTCAAAGCGCCCGTTGCACTCTACTATGCACAAGATGATTGGCTTGCTGTTGTCAAAGATACCCAACGTTTACTGAAATCTCTTCCAAACGTTGTGCACAATTATTTAGTGCCACACAAACAATTCAATCACATTGACTTCCTCTGGGGCATTGACGCTCCATTCCTCGTTTACGATGAAATTGTGCGCACAATGAAATTAACCAATTATGACGAGCCAAATATGGATATTGATATTAGAAACTTTTTAGCATTGTAAGCGTTTCTCACTCAAATAATAAAATGCAATAACAACGAAAACAAATATCCCACTTTTAATTGGTTTAATTTGATCAGAAATTTCAATTTTATGTTCGTGTTAATTGTGATTAGTCTAAGGCGTGTTTGAAATTTTCATGATAAACGAACAATGTCGGAATGAATAAAAGCATAAAATGAAGTACAGAAAATTCATTCGATTTGATTGTTTCGCTTATCTCAAAGTCTTTTTTGCAATAAATATCATACAGCAGTGTACTGATGCCACAGTGCAGTTTCAAACTTTTTCCAGGCTAAAAATGGAACTCAATAGAACTAGTCTAGTTTTAACTCTCGTTCATATCGCTTTGTCGCCGATTGTTGAAGCGTTTCTGACACAAAATCCAGTGACACAGGCTTTGTGCGGCTTGAGAACGGTAAATTGGAATTAAAGTGAGATTTTTATTTGAAAATGTGTGTAATTTCAAGCAGATTTTGTTGAAATGTATCTCAGGATCAACTCATAAAATATTATGGATATGAAGCGGAAATACACAAAGTTACTACTCACGATGGGTATATTTTAACGTTGTTTCGTTGCAATTCGAAGAATTCATCACTGAGCGGGGAGAGGAAATCCGTTATCGTTCAACATGGCCTTTTGGTTTCATCAGACGATTTTTGCATCAATGTTCCAAGTCAAGCATTGGGTGAATAATTTTCCTTATGCTTTTGACGTTGTGATATTTTTTTTTGGAATGATAACAAGTGAATATAATTGGTGAACGGTTTTTTTTAATGTCTTAACCATGTCTTACCCATGTCAAATGTACACAAATAATGTTTGGAAATAATTTTAGCCTATGTATTGGCTGACAATGGCTATGATATTTCAATTACAAAACGATAATTTGTAAAATATATGTTTCAGCATACGTCTTAGCTGATGCCGGATATGATATTTGGTTTGTTGCTAATGCCATGGAATAATAAAAAATTTGAACGATAATAATGTAATAACATCTCCTAGGCTACCGAATTTTCGTGGCAGCTATTATTCCAGAAATCACGTTTCTGAAGATCCAAATGATTTGTTCGGTGGCTACTGGAATTTCTCGTGGTACGAAATGGGCATTTATGATCATCCAGCCGTTATTGACTACATTCTCAAAGAGACTGGAAACGAAAAGTTGTATTACATTGGTTACTCGCAAGGTTCTACAAGTATCATGGTTTTATTGTCCGAAAAACCGGAATATAATGCGAAAATTTACGCTGCAAGTCTAATGGCACCAGCTGTTTACATGGCCGGTGATGGACCTATTTATCAAATTCTATCGAGGTTTGCACCGATTCTACAAGTAATTAAAACTCTGTTTTACGATTAGAATTTCGTGTGTTAACCACAATTTCAAGTTGAAATTTTCAACCATCGATTACAACACCAGAAAAAATGCATTACAATTTACACCAACAATTCCATTTCAGGGCATTGCAAGCACGGAATTTTTACCCAGAAGTGATTTAATATCGAAATTGCTAATTTTAATCTGCAGTCGTGATTTGAACTTGTGCAATGCTTTTGTGGATTTAATTTGTGGCTTGAGTTTGGATCAAAGGAATAATGTAAGTAAAATACAATTGATTGAATGATTTTCAATCAAGGTTTTCTTTCGTTTTTAGACAATGTTGCCAGCATTCGTCTGTCACATTCCAAGCGGTGCGTCTCTCAAACAAATCATCCATTATGGCCAAGAGATTAAATACGGTTTCTTTGGGAAATACAAATACGGTGTTGACATACCAGAGGATTTTCCACTCCATCGAATCACTGCGCCAATCAGTATTCATTATTCGGTAGCCGATACACTGGCAAATGCAAGAGATGCCCGCATTTTAATATCCAAATTGAAAACCAAAGATCTTTATTCCCAGGAAATCCAAGGACAGTTTAATCATATCGATTTCGTGTGGGGCATGAATTCCGCCTCGTTGATTTACACGAAGATTTTGCAATTTTTCGATAAATATCAATAAAATGCTTCGAAACCTTATAAATGCATCTCTCTTTTTTTATCTAATCGTGGCGTATTAACTGTAAATTTATCTATAAACGTGCAAGAATCGTATGCCGCTCGTGCGTTGCATCAAACACAAAAATGCATATTTTTATCGACGATTTTTTTAAGAATCGATTAAATACCCTGAATTTTGTGGTAACTTTATCAGTATTTCTTAGAAACCGAATATGTTTAACACAAGTTTCAAGCTTATAGCTCTCAGCCTTATTTTATCATCGTCTGGGCAAGTAAAATCCAACATTGAAAATGATCTATGTCCACTTAGAACGGTAAGTAAAGCAATAAGTTTAGAACCTGGTAAGATTATTCAAATACAAATGAAACAATTCTGAAATTCAGGATCAAGTTATCGAACATTATGGATATGAAGCAGAAGAGCACCATGTAACTACAGCAGATGGTTATATTTTAACCATTTTCCGTTGTAACTCAAAACAATATGCGATGAAAAAGAGAAAACCATTGATAATTCAACATGGACTTCCGTCTTCGTCTGATGATTTTACAACAAATATTCCAAGCCAGGCGATAGGTAAGCAAAAAGCGGAATTTCTTCCATGATGAATGGTTTTTTGGTAGGACATATCGTAGAAAATGACTTGAATCTTATTCTTGAGATGAGCTCTTTCAATTACAAAACGATAATTTGTAAAATATATGTTTCAGCATACGTCTTAGCCGATGCCGGCTTTGATGTTTGGCTACCGAATTTTCGTGGAACCGTTTATTCACGAAGACATGTATCGAAAAATCCCGACACTCCGGGTAGTGGTTTTTGGAATTTTTCATGGTACGAATTGGGTATTTACGATCAACCAGCGGTTATTGACTATATTCTGAATCAAACGCACAATCGCAAACTATATTACATTGGTTACTCGGAAGGAACTACAAGTATCATGGTTTTATTGTCCGAAAAACCGGAATATAATGCGAAAATTTACGCTGCAAGCCTTATGGCGCCAGTTGGCTATACCTCGAGCATATTCACAGCAGCTGACTACGTGTCTTTACCGTTTTTTCCGAGATTGCCTTTGTTTTTGCTAGAAAAATGGTTGAATATATTAGAAAATACCGAAATCCTACCTAGATCTCTTAGTCAGGTAGCCAGTGTGTTGTGTGCACAACTTCCAGCTCTATGTAATGGAGTGTTGAATTTCCTGTTTGGGGCGAGTGAAAATCAAAGGAACGCTGTAGGTAATTGCAATCAGTAACAAAAACTCTAAATAAATTTGAATGAATCGTAGACAATGCTGCCGGTTTTAATGTGCCGTTCGATAAGCGGAGGATCGGCTAATCAATATTTGCATTATCTGCAAGAGTACAACTATGGATATTTTGGCAAATATAAGCGTGGATTTAAAGTACCTCCTGATTTTGATCTGTCTCGAATCAATACACCGATTAGTCTACACTACTCAACTGCTGATACATTAGCTACCGCGACGGACGTACAAAAATTGATACCCAAGCTACAGAAGAATATTGTTCGTATTCAGGTGATAAACGAAAAACTTAACCACATTGACTTTGTCTGGGGAGTGAATTCGGCTTCTCTCATTTATAGTGAAATTATCAAAGTTTTTCAAAGATTCAACTGAATAAAATGACTTCACAGACTCTTTGTTTTAGTGTTTTAATATATTTTCAATTCAAACCTTAATTTTGTCCCTCGTTTCTTATTATAAACCCAAAATTAATGTTTCAATAACGTGCATTTACTGTTGAATTGCAGCAAAACGATGCACATTACGGATAATAATTCGAAATTATTCGCTTGCCATGCAATTAACATGGCAAATGAGTTATATTCCTCAGTATTTTGAAGGAATAAAGTCTTTGTAGGAAAATACTCAAATTACACTTCTTCCACTGTTGTTAAATAGACAATGTCTAACAACTCAATTCGAAATTATTCATGAGCCAATGTCTTTTTGTCTGTTTGGCGCTGTTGTGCGTTTTCATATTGTCCAAGTTACAAATTATACACATTTCAATATAATTCCATCAAATTATCGGCACGTCTTCATTTCGTTGACACGATCATTGGTTTCGAAGAAGCTATTTGCTATAAAAAGCGAACATAAGCTCTATATCAAAAACATTTTGACTGCAAACATAAATCTGTGTTAAAAATCGACTACTATGAAGAGTTTATTGATATTTCTTGCTTGCACACTGCTTTGCAATGGCCAGACTATTGAAACGATTACAAAGTTGGTTCAAGATTTGATTAAAAACGAAAATATTCCAACGGTTCTCTCGGTGATTTCTTGTTGGTCGCAATCGGATAGTTTCCACTTTATGAAGTCGTCCAAAGTTCCCGTCCAACTGAGCCGTGATTTCAAGATATCTCCTCGCATTGTTGATGATAGAACA